AACCTATTTACCTTTATAGTTATAGGTATATCCTAAGACCCCTCTAATCCTATAAAAGGTCTATATTTATATTCTATTAACACTAGTTATACTAAGCTATTAAGATAACTAAGTGTAGTAACTAAGTATAGTCTATTAGATTCCTTTACTTACTAAGGTAATAGTATAACTAGTTAGTACCTTAGTTACTTTTTTAATATCTTATATTTAAATTTTATAGATCTTAGTAATATCTTAGTAGATAGTAGTAAATAGGACTTTAGTGTCTTATATATAGATAAAAATCTATCTCTTAGTTATAGTGTTATATTACTAAGATCTAGCTTATATGCCTTCCTAGGTTTCTTAAGATTCCTAATAGACTTTTCTTTTTATAGTTACTATATCTTAGGAGGCCTTAGGGGGGTAAGGCTAGGCTAGGCCCTCTTTCTGTTTTTTCTTTTAGGCTAGTGCTATAGTATAAGGTTATTACTAGTAGGCTATTCTATTACTAAGTGTGTTAATTAATAGGTTAGTGTAGTAAGTAGTAGCCTAGTTATACTATCTATTTTATTAAATATCTTTTAGTGTCTATTAGAGTGTGTTAATAAGTATGTTACCTATATATCTAAAGCTGTTATTTAGTGCTATAATCTTACTTAGGTAGTCCTTAGGAGTATTATAACTTATATTTATTATTAGTCTATATATAGACGTATTAATCTCTAGCTACGCCTTAAGGTTACTTAAAAGCTATAAAGGCTAATTACTAGTAGTAAGGACGTTATAGTAGCGTTAGTTATTAAGAGCTTTATTCTCTTACGCTTTATAAGGGAACCTTTATTATTCCTAATATGGCTTAAGTTAGAGAGGACTGCGTGCCCCAGCAGGCAACTGCCCGGCTAGAGGCGTGTGGTCGCAGGGGTTGCTGGCCCTTAGGCCGGCATTAGAGGTGTTTAGAAGGGGGTTTGTTACACAAGTAATATGTCTGTTAGTGTAACAGGTGTGGTGCACGCTAAGGAACTAACAGTTCCAAAACGTGACAAGTAAAAAGGAGGGAAGGTTGCAGACTCAAGCATAATCTACAGCTAGCCCGCTAGATTCAACCAATTGACCGCGGACGACTGTATACGTCCTGTTAGAATTGTCTTGGGAATGAAATGTCGTTCAGAAAGCAACCAGAAAGATCATCAAATACCATCTACTATTTCGATTGCATTATTTCAATGTAACGTCACAAAGATTAGAATATTCCTCTTGCTTTTGTTGATATACGCGACAACGAATAGTTTCATAGCTAGCTAAGATCTTCTACTCTTCTAGTTGCGAACAACGTACACTCACTCACTCGAATCTGGTGCAATCAAAAGTAAGGATCGAAGACGTTGTGCATCTGTCAGATACAGTCCGCAAGCTTCCAGCCATATTTATCCTCTGGCACACTTTATGGTCTGCTTTCATATGTAAAATTATACTTTATGATTTATGCATACTGGATGATGAGCAAATCTCGTTGGGAGAGATGGCTTGGCCAGGCAAGACTGCAAGGGACACACCAACACTTTGGCAGTTTAATTGAACATCGAAACTAGAACCATGAGGACTCGGGAAGTGCATGTAACAGACATGGTGGAGTTTCACCGCAATTGATGCCACTTGTGATCTCAGAAACATCTGATGGTGCTGGTATCACAGGCAATCTACAATCGTTAAGGCACTCAGTCTGAACCCGCAGTCATTGAGGCACGCGAACACTTCTCTCCTTTGTATATGAATGCTTGACGCTTCCAACGAGGTTTACGCTTGGTCTCGTGGTAAATCTACTTCAGTAATCACGGGGGAACTCGCGTGTAGGTACATGTCGAAGATAGCCTTCTTCATGTTGCCGACGATGATCTGTCACAGCTGGTATGAGCCCTACAGCCCTAGGTCTGTAGTATATTGGAAGGAACGAAAAGTCAGAATGTCTGTTGGCCCAAAATTCCAGTTATCCTTCCTGAATAACAGAGCTTCTAAGACACTACTCAAGATAGTCTGAAGATTCTATCCCGCTCGGGGTGCAATTACAGTTCGGCTTCATGGAGAGGAACCTCCACCATGTGACATGATTGTGTCGAAAATAGCGAACTTTTGAATATTTCCACTGCAAAGTCTACGTGCCATTGGCTGGCTCAACTCAAGATCTCTGTTCAATAAAGCCGATGATCACAGGCAAGTCATAGACACATTCTCTATCGAGAGATTATAATGAGTCAGAATATGGCTTCATGTACACATGTATGTTGAGATCACTCTTATCATTTGTCAACATACGAGTTCTCATGATTCGGTTTTGAGACATGGATACAAACTTTCTCCCTGCATTTCAAGTAGGAGTCTTGCCTTGTTTTGGCTTTGCTCAGCATATCCTGATGGACAGCAAGTAGCTCGAAAGGCATATGCCCAGCATTCAGATCGGCAATGACATCGAGACCAAGCAGTGACCACGAAGTTGGTGTTAGAAATTACTATCCAGCTTGAAACCAAGCTTACCATATCTTATCCTCAGTGGCATTCTAGAAAAGGAATTCAAGTAGCTGGTCCAAACGCTGATCCCGATATGAACCACCTAATGTGACCACACTCCTTCAGTTGAGGGCATTTATTCCCTCAGAAAGGCTTTAACGTCAGTGGCTTGCTGAATGACTATATCACGGAATGCCGGTCGGTATTGATCTTTCTGGAGTAGTTGGGGTAGAAGATCATGTGAGTTCTGTGAAACGAATAAACCAGTATGCGAGGTGGCTAGTCGTGCTAAGCTGAAAGCGGACTTTGTGAGCCGAAAACATGTCTCACAGACGACGATCCATACCGAGATTCAATAATGTGAGGATCTACCAATACCTCAACCAGTCTGCTTCTCTCTCATCGAGAGTTTGCCACCATCTACCCAAGCCATTGACGCGAAGATCGTCCGGGAAGGCACTAGGCTCAGGCCCGGTGAAAATGAAAGGGAATTCCTCTAAACACGTGCACCAACCTTATGTAGACATGAGTTCTCCGCAATTTAACTACCATTGCTGTTCTAAATGCAGAAAGAATGCCGGTAGAGACATAGGTAGACATCCTGATATCTCACCCTCAAATACCGATCTGGATTATGGGTGTGACCACCTAGGCGGAAAGACGCCAAGACTCAACCGCCGCGGAAAATGGACTTCGAAAGTTCTAGAGAGGCATCAGACTGTTTAGTCTTGGTATTTGGGTTGGAGTGCAAGTTCTGGTGCAAGCACTATGGGACATCTTGTTCCATCAGGCAGCACCATACTGACACGGAACGGTGTTTGCTCGTTGCCGTACGGCCGCAAACGTTGTCTAGGAGAGAACCATCCAGGAAACCTATTTAGAAGGCTAGTTATTCGCCTAAACTTGATGGGAATAGCTCTATGTAATGATCAGAGCTGGCTGGACCACTCCGCAATCGATGAATGCGGCCCGCTGAAGGCTCCCGGTGACATGTTTCCAGCCAACTTAGCCCGTATACCAAGGCTAGACTAGCTTAGTCACACACGTCTATGTAGCCGGGATTGCCTCATTCCTAGCCTCTATAACGTCTGGGCTGGCCCGAGACTCGGAATTGGGTTAACCCCGTTGGAGCCAACCTCATTCGTGGGATAACTAATAATGACTTGGCCACCGGTTCGGGAAACTTTTCAGGACCGAGACACCTTAGTCTGGTAGAGAGACCGCCAATGATACATACGGCACTAGTATGTAAGGGATACAACTGAGCTGCCCGCTCCCAGCTTTGCACTTAAAACTCCAGATCTTTGGATCAAAGGCGGCATTCCCAGAAATCGGGAACTGGGAGAACGCCTTACCCGCTCAGCGCCATCTTACGCAGCATGAAGTGAGATGTCGATGTCTTGCATGATGAGGTAGGTCTGTTCGGGCCTTCAGATCCGGTACGGATGCGGGATTCTTTCGCAGTCCGCGGCATTTGCAAGGATGTGTAATAACGGGCCGAGGGTATAGATTATAGTCATGTCGTCAGATTCATCGAGATGGTCGTATTTGACTCTGTCACAACTACACAAAACATTTGATCCCAACCATAGCAGACCTGTTCCAGTAGCTGAGTCCTAAAATTCCGCGGACTCTGAGACTCAAAGGTCACGTTAACTCCTAAGTAAGCTACAGTGAAGACCTGTAATACTATTGCCTGATTGAGCAGGCGTTTCATCTCGATTACTGACCAATGATTCACCCACGGGAGGCAAATGTTCGTTGACGAGCTTGGGAGTCCACTAGGCGGCCCGGCAGTTATGTCCTGACATCAGTTCCAAACCCATGAATTGCTAGCGGCATAGTACATCTCTTGGGGAAAAGCACCCTAAAAGAACAGGAGCCTGGAAACCAAAAGCGGGCTCTTTCGAAACGGTGCAATGGCCCAACATCGACTTCGGAAAGTCTCTTTAGTGTGCCTTTGCCGACCCTTTCGTCGGGTTGGAATCCGCGGCTAGGACCAGTGGCTTGCCATCATGCCACCTTGGGTTAGAGACAAGAGGTGAATGGGTGTGCAACTGCATTCTCGATGAGGTATAACGCATGTAAGCGTGTTTTCGAGCATGTATAGCCCAAGTAGCAACTGAAAAATGTTTAGCTTGAGAGCACTGGGCCATGGGTAGACCTCCCAGGTGTCGGACGAAGCCTTCCCAGCAAGCTACCCGATGCTTGTCTTCCCGGCTAGAGACCACACATTCTCGTTTTCGGACTCACAGAAAGGATTGCAACATTGAATGGATGCTTAGATCGAGCTGGACCTCAGATTCTCAATCTTCTATAAGAGACTCCAACCCCTCCCGCTTCGTTATATCTTCACTTCCTCATCATCTTACACAGTATTCCTTCCCAACATAGTATTCGTTTCATTCGGCAACATTGCCTCCCCAATAATCTCCTATTCTAATTGTTGAGGACCTTCCTCATCGTTCGATCCTGTTCCTCCTCTTGAAACAAGACCAGCCAACACATCCATCATAATGCAGTCCAAGATCTTCAACGCCGCCGTTGCTGCTCTCTCACTGCCCGCAGTGCAATGTGCAGTTGCGCCCAGACAAATTTCCATTACCCCTGGCTTAATTGTTCTTCCCGGCATCACCATTGACCCCAACACTCTCGGACCCCAGCTGTCGGTGTTCCAAACTCTCGACCTTGTCCGCGAGGATGTTGGCAAGACTATCAATCTTGTCAACCAGATCACGAACACTACCGCTGGTACCCTGCTTGGAGTGAGTTCCTCTATCTCAGAAACATAGAAACTTTATACCATACTAACTGAACAGACGGTTTCTGTAGCTACTACTGTAGTTGGCCAGGTCACTAACAACGTGGGGACCATTTTGGACAAGGTCACTCAACTTACCAACTTAATCACGCCCACTCTTCCGGCTCCTACTACTCCTGCGCCCCCAAACTTGCCGGATATTGGTGGCACGGCCGAGACTGTAAGTGTATCCATAGATACGCCAACCTCGACGAGAGTCCCCGCTAATAAGCACCCCTTAGCTTGTCCGTACGGTTCAGGAGCTCACCAGGGCGGTCACCGCTCAGCTCGATGCCCTCCGCAACCAGGCTGTCGGGCTAGCCGCAGCAACCTTGCTTCCTCTTGTTGCCACTTTGCAGGTGACCTTGCAAACCGCCCTCAACCTCGTCGGCGTCGCCTCCGGTCTCGCCCTCTCCCTGGCGGCTAGCGCCGTTTCTAACGTTCAGACTGTCGTTGATCGAGTCCTCAACGCCAAGGCCAAGCTGACAGGCGTCCTTGTCATCGGCATCCAGCCGGACATCAGCTTCTAAACGGATTGATGTATACCAACATATGCATCCAGTCTAGTTCTGTGGGCCTCTACTAGATATGGAGACGCTAGTGCGCAATTACCAGCGGATTTAGCGGGTAGTGGTCGACGTGGTGCCCACGAGAAGGTAATGGAATAGTGAAGGAGATTGCGGAGGTTATGGCGGCCTGTGATTGGGAATTATTTGACTTTTGGCATGAAATGCCCACATTCTTTGGTATATGACACTGGAACGACTATTCAACAAGACTCAGCGGAATTACTATTTATAACACTTATTTAAAACTGTATGGCCTAAACAGAAAACCAGACCCGTTCTCTCTCTCTACGTGTAGTTAGTGAGTTGTAGATCACCACACTTTGGGTGGTATGGCATGCAAAGTGATTTATTAGAATAACCGTACGTCACAGACGTTGAGTTATTGTCTGCATTCGTCGAAACCACTATGAACATATACGACCAAGGTGCTCCGACGTACAATCACATGTTTATACGATACTTAACGCAATACCTATACTTAACGCAATACCTATACTTAACGCAATACCTATACTTAACGCAATACCTATACTCTTCGCAGTCACATCTTAATCATGCATGCTGCAGATGATGATGTATTGCAGTATAAAACTTCCCTCAGGCACCCAAATGATTCCCTGTCCTTAGCAAAGGACACATATAGGCCCCTCACGTCAGGCGTCACGCTGTCCGTATCATTGGACGCTGTCGCATCCTTGGTCCGTTTTTAGGCTAAGCATTAGGTACCGTGGATAATATGCGTTTTTGAAACTCGGCAAGCCGACGCGTTTCGTATAAACAAACTAGAGCCCCCTCGCCACGCTGGTAAAGCGAAAAGGAAAAACAGACAGCGAGAGAATGGCTTGTGTTTGGAGTGCCCAAGGTACCGAAGACACAACGGCCGCGGAGAGACTCGGCCGCATTTGCTCGCATGACGTGGTGTGACAGACGTCAGCACCAGAAGCTAGTGGACTTTGGTTGAGTCTCGTTGACATTACTCGGTAGCGAGTAAACTAAATTAATTGCCACGGGCATGGCATTCAGAAAAGCCCAGTATTGCGGTCTCATATTCATCGGTACGAGAGTGTCATTACCATCTTTGCCGCGCTGCGGCGTCGCTGCCCTGGGCCCGGAGAACAGAAAGGGGAATTCTCCCAAAGCCTACGGCGCAACGCTCTAAAGCGCATACAGCATCAGTATTAACAGAGGTTAGTTATACAAAGAGGAATATGTCGTGAGAGTGTTTTTGATCCTCTTCATGACGAAGTGATTCTGGCATGATGGTCCGCTTGGAATTAGAAATAATACACAGGCGGAAGTGATCTATATCTAATGACGAATCATTTTCTTTTTCTCCCTTGAGTTACCGGTACTAGCTGAATTGACAAAGTAAAACTGGAGATCATCTGATCAATGTAAGCCCGAGTTCTTAGCCTCTCAATTTCGTGCGTTTAGCCGAAGAAGCGAGGCATCCTAGCCAATCCTGTCCTCGTCCATTACAAGGATGGGAAGGTGATGGGCCGTCGACCACTCTGGATCTAGTTCGGAGCCTTGAGTAGATTAAGGCGAGATGAAGGCGGAGAAGGGGTACTAACTCTGGGATAACACGATACCATGATGTGTATTTCGGTATAATAGGAGAACGCTGATAAATGACCTTCGTCCCCCCTCTATCTCTTCAGTATTCGACAAGCTAGTCTTACCTTGGTTATCTTTCGCCATCGAGTTTCCACCCTTCTCTGCATTGTTGGGGTGATATTGCCCGTTCTCTCCCGCCAGCTTCGTTCGATTGTCTCTCATTCTCGACAAACCGCCAGTATGCGTTTCTCTGCCATCACCGCAGCTGGGCTGCTCGCGCTTCCCGGGGCTAGCGCCAATCTCCACGAGCTTGCCGTAGCTGCCGGCAAGAAATACTTCGGCTCCGCAACAGACAACGGGGAGCTCACTGACACCGCCTACGTCAACATCCTCAAGAACAACAAGATGTTTGGCCAGATTACACCAGGGAATGGCCAGAAGTGGCAGTTCACCGAGCCGAGCCAAGGCTCCTTCTCATACACCGGCGGCGACCAGATCACAGAGTTCGCCAAGAACAACGGCCAGATCGTCCGCTGCCACACCCTCGTGTGGCACTCTCAGCTTCCGGACTGGGTCTCTTCGGGCACCTGGACCAAGGAACAGCTGACCAGCATCATTGATACGCACATCTCCAACGTCGCCGGCCATTACAAGGGCCAGTGCTACGCCTGGGACGTCGTCAACGAAGCCCTCGAAGAGGACGGCACGTACCGTGACAGCGTCTTTCACAAGGTCCTCGGCACCGATTTCATACCCATTTCGTTCAAGGCCGCCGCCGCAGCCGACGCGGACGCCAAGCTTTACTACAACGATTACAACATCGAGCTACCCGGTGGCAAGCAGAAGGAGGTTCTCAATATCATCAAGAACATCAAGGCCGCAGGCGCCCGTATTGACGGCCTCGGCCTTCAAGCCCATCTCATCGTCGGTAGCGCCGGCTCCCGCTCAGATCTGAGATCCGTCCTCCAGTCCTACGTTGACGCCGGTGTCACCGAGGTCGCCTACACCGAGCTCGACATCCGCCACTCCTCCGTCCCCGCCAACGCCGCCGCCCAACAGCAGCAGGCCCAGGACTATGTCAACGTCGTCGGTGCCTGCTTGGACGTCGCCGAGTGTGTCGGTATCACCATCTGGGACTACACCGACAAGTATTCCTGGATCCCATCCGTTTTCCCGGGCACCGGCGAAGCCCTCCCCTGGGACAAGGACCTCAACCCTAAGCCCGCGTACACCAGCATCTCCAGTCTTCTCGCTGCCGCTGCTACGTCTGCTCCTGTTGCTTCCGCTTCATCTGTCGCAGATGGCACTTTGCCCGTCGCCCCAGCAACGACAACCGAGGCTACTGCCCCTGGTAGTGCCGCCCGTTGGGCTCAGTGCGGAGGGATTGGATTCACTGGTGCTAGTAACTGCGAGAGTAACCTTGTCTGTGAGAGGATTAATGAGTATTACAGCCAGTGTGTTTAAAAGATAGCTACAGCGGTTCATGGAAAGAGGCCACCGAGGTATCGGCCGAACTGTTTCGGGTGGTGTTCCAAGGAGAAAATGTTGACATTCGTGTACATAACTTCAGTTGATTAGAACATAACTTATCCATTGCTTGTTAAACAACTGTTTTGTTGCTTGTAGCTGTACTGTGGCGCCATCCGGAATTAGCCAGTAGCTTGTGGGTATACAACAGCATTAGGTACATTGACACCCTGTTCCTTTTGGGAGACTGACCTGAGCTGCTGCAACTATGAGGCTAAAGCAAGCCTGAGCTCAGGACTATATATAGTAATGCTTACTTAGTAAGTATCATTGTCACAGGCCTAACGCGTTTCAACAGTCATGGTCCACCAACACGTAGATATTTACGTGCTAAATGTATATATAGTTAACCTCCTCGAAGACTTCCTCCTCAAGAAGCTTTACCATCAGAAAACTACTCTGACCACACCTGTCATCTGCTGTCAATGCTTATACTATTTGTTTACTGCATGTTTTGTCATCTTTGTTGCCTTTGCGTTGCTTGCTTGCTCGACTGCCTTCACTACGTATCTTCACGTGGCTGCCGTGATATTACCTAGCAGCTCCTACAGCCCACTTCCCCTGTCCATTAATGAGTAGATGTGATTTGGCCACTTGGACAGAAATGACAGAAACATATACAACCTTAAGTAGTGGTCTTACGGCCGGCGTCGCCGTGGCTTATGGGACAGGTGGTCTGCAGTGATGATCCTACCGCGCCGCGCGAAACCGGGCCTATCTCGCTCGTATACTCGAACAAATTCTCTCACAGTATGGCCATGCTCATTTATCACGATAGCCTCTCTGGCTGTCATAAGTTCCGATTGTCAGATCAGTTGTGAGTGAAAGAACCGAGCAGTCCCCCCTAAGAATGATTAGGCACTGCTGCATATCGTCTGCGGATGATTGTACAATTGAATCCATATAACTGCGGCAATGGAAGTCTAATCATTCTCTTCGTCTGGACCATGCATCCCGGCTGTGGGAACCTATGCCCAGCTAAGACATAGTGAGTTCCACATCACACAATGCCGTAAGTCAATGTTTGCGTTGACTGTTTATATCCCATCATGCGCAGAACTTTACTGCAAGAGGCAAAGACGTAATGTTCATTGTTCACAGATGGACTCAAAGGCTCATGGGTTTTCTATTCGACGAATAAAATAACTGCATAGTCGCTTTGCTTTGTATAACATCAGGGCGTGCTTGAGACCATTTCAATCCATCAATCCTATTCTCTCCAACTAAATATCCCCCGCTCTCATGAATGCGGCAGACCAGGTGAGTGTAGCGGACTACTATAGCTTGCGTGTCTACTATCATGCCCGGGGGGCGGTGAGTCTCGGCCCTGCTGTTGCTGCTGGTCATACGGAGACGGCGATCCCATCTCGCTTCTGGCGATGGCGACCGAAGCATCTAACTCCGAGTATCTGTGGACGTTTGATTGATGGTACTCCGAGTTGGGCGACATGGTTGGTTGCGGGGACGGGCCGTAATGCGACTTGTAGGTCTGCGGCGGTGAGGTCCCGGCGTACGAGCTCGTGGCCCCGGTGACTTGCGGTTCTATCCGCTGGCTTGTCACCTCTGTCTTCTCGGCCAATTCTTTCTTGAGTTTCTTGTTCTGCCTCAATAGCCATATCGTCGAGAGAAGGCCCGCCAGGACGGCGATACCGGTGGCGATGGCGAGGCCGATGGTCGCGCCCTTAAACGCGGACGATTCCTCGGGTGTGGCGTCGTCGGAGTTCGTCGAATTCGCAGTGCACACTGACTCCTGCGGTGATATCGAAAATGCTTCCTTCGTTCCACAACAGGTGGTGTTCGATCTGCCGCAGCAGTACTTTGCTGTTCCATCATTGCAGGCGGTCATGAAGCTGACTCCGTCAGGACTGCCGCCAGTCTACAGTCCTCGTTAGCATCGCCAATAATACAATTGCAACTGCGGCGGGACCGTACCTCGACACTTGTACAGACATGGTTGCAAGCCTTGCTTTTCCACGTCCTATCCGTGCAGTAACCCCGTTGCGGCTGACCTTGGCGATTGATACATAGGCCGGAGGTTGAGCAAATGTCTCGCTGTTCGGGCGGGCCGTCCAAAGCGCAGCAGCTTGAGAAGACGCCAGCCTGGTTGATGCCGAGCTTGTTGCATGGGACATATGTTTGGTTGTCGGCCAAGTCACCGTTCGGCGCGTAGCACGCAGCTTCTTGTGCAAGAAGGCGGGTGGCGAGGCCCAAGGCCGCTCCTAGAATGGCTACGAACATCGCGACAAGTTGAGTTGGTCGGATTGGTCACTTGGACCCTGTTTGCGGTCTGTGTCGAACGTTTACGGGTAGGAAAGAAGGAAAACCGGGAGAACGAACCCGGATTTCAAGAGGAAAAGAAGAAAACGCAGGAAGAGAAAGCACCGCAGCAGACAAGACGGGGCTTTCCCTCTCATTATGAGAAGCCCCGGCAAACAAGCCGAGGGCAACAAGGTCGGTGCTCTCCCTGGGTCTCCTCCATCTCCCCATTTCGAAGGATTCGATGTTCTTACTGGCAGCCTGGTGTCTTACGTGCATGGGAAAAGGCTAGCATCATGATGGTGGCTTACAACAGGCAGCCAACTCAGCGCCCCAACTATTTAAATTAGGCACGCTAGGTTCAGTTGTCTTGTAATCTCCTCGCCATAGTGGTCGAACGAACCGTTGGATGCAGAATGCAGATCCTGGACACAATTGATGGTCCGCAGAAACCCACACCTACACAGATAAGACAGGGACACGGGTCAGCCGGTAGATATACTTATTAATATATATAAAATAGGCGCAGATCAAAATACCAGTATCGTACACCTATTCTATGATTCTAGGGCACTTATTACTATATAGGAAACCCTGAAAAGACCTAGAAAATGCTGATTGCCATGAAAAGTCTCTTGGTAGAGGTGGCTGCCAACTGTGCCTGTGGCGTGATAGGCTCTTTATGTAGGAAAACCTAAACTAAACCAAGTATTAATACTCACCTTTCAGAGCGGGGCATTCCACCGCGCTAATGTTTTTAATCCATGTGCATGGCTACTTAATCGGTGTACAGAAGGCGACCAGAGGCTGCACCAACAGACAGTCGACATGCAGTATCATGACCAATCATTGGAATGGCTATGTCCGGGATAGACTGCCACGAGGTGTGGGCGGGATGGCACTATGGCACGTCCCGCGTCCTGGCTGATGGGTCAAGATGATCACCAGTCCATCGAAGTCTATTCGATGGCTTGCGAAAGATCGGACTGTCTCCGTCCTAATCACAACGTTGAGCTGTTTCGTCTGTTCAGGCGCACAGTTGATGATAATCATCATCATCATCGATATGTTAACAGAGGGCCCAAAAGAAATCACAAGCATTCTGTCTCAGCCACAGAGGAATTAATAGGAACCAGGAAGATTCGGAGTCGTTGCCGAGAATGAGGACAATACTCCGTACTCGCACCGCACTTTGGTTGGGATTGTCTAGTGCTGATTGTTGGTAAGAATGGCGCCACAGGACTTGGCAGCCCACTCCAAGCTGCACGTTATGTCTGGGAATAGGCATTCCCCCGGCCGAAGGATGTCAGCTTACTCGCCTCACGCCACATTGAGCCTTCCAAAGGAGGAACTGCCCCTGCGCGCTCGTCCCTGGGCATATCTGGATTGAGCGACAGATTGGTCGTCCTTGGATTAATTAAGTAATAGCCATCAAGCTGTAAGATATAGCAAAAGAATGGGGTGAAGCTTTGTCTAAGGCTCTTAGCTCAAGTGAGGTAACATAAATCAACCGCGCCTTTGTCTCATGCTCTCAACCTCGGAACCCTCACACAGGGTGGAGATGAACACTCTCGATTAGCCGCATGGAACTATACTCTTAGAGGCGTTGAAAATTCCCAAAACTTCAGCCGCTGGAAATCGGGATATTTAAGCGGCACATGTGCTGCTTCGAACCCGACTCATCAATAATCCCCGCCCCGGAAAGGAGTCGGGGTTGCAATTGTGGCGCCGTTAACGTCCAGCCAGATAGATGAGCCTCATAGCTGCAACCGTATAACTGAGCCACGGCGGCACATACTGCTTGTTACCGCCCTCCGAACCCTTTCGCGCATCCTTGCTCACCTCACCATTGCTTCTTTTCTATCCTGTATCTTGAGGCGATGGACCACATTATGGAGCTGCGAGCGAAACGAGAAACGCCTTGTCGCTCCTAAAAGCCCCAGGCCGGAGACGAACAAGAGTAGATCGGTACATCTTGTCAAGACTAACCTAGAATCAACGCGAACGGCTATCTCGAGAAAGGTCACAGCTTTGCAATACATACACGACCACGGAGAAAAACGGCCAAAATAAGCATCAAATCTCGAGCACTATCACAGGGTGGGTTTGGGGGGGACGTTTATTTGGACAAAGTGCTAGTGTGACGCAGGAGTTTTGAGATTTTATCGTCAGGGCTCAATTCGAAGATATCCCGCCTCAAACTCTAGAAACCTTTAACGACCTCGTCATGAACCATTTTGACCTCGGAGTCGGCGGGGGGCGCTCAATCATAGTCGAGCAGGTGCATCATCAAGGGCGTCGAATCTTTCAACGGAGGAGCCATAGGAGAGAGCACAGTATATCAGTATACGACCGGGGATGACGATACTCGGTCCTTATTATTACATTGCTCGATGGAACGTTCGCGCACTGGTCTTGAACATACGTCTGCACCCCGCTTGCCGCCCCCGATGCGTTTCTGTGTGTGGTCCTAGCGGAGGCAGATGTCACGGGGGCGTCGCGCATCACCGAGGGAAAATGGCGGTTCCTACAAGCGCCGTCTTCGGAGGTCGACGCTGCGGACCTCACGGACAACCTCGGTTCAGAGTGGATTTACCCTGCCACGGCGTTGAAGGCATTCCTTGCCTGACGGCTGACTCATACTGCCATCGAGGTGACCGCAGACGTTGCGGCAAAGGTCAAAGGGCTGAGTCTGCCAGAGAAGATCACCGCCAAACTGACTAGGGCGGATTACAGTATCGTAGGCGAGCCCAGCCCGAACAAGTGATACCCCAGAGCCAGTGTCAATGCTAACTCAATGGATACATTATCAGGTAGCGGTCGCCTGGCTTTTGTGCAAGGAGATCGTGGTCTACGTACTACCCCGAGAAGATGCAGAACATGGACGTAGCAGACCTCTACGATAGGGGCTAGCGTCATCTGTGACGAGCTTGGCTAGGAATTCTCTGTTACGATCTATTTCACCGGCATTAATGACCTGCGTGATGTTAAAGATGCCATGTAGTATACTCCTGGGGAAGACGAGCACACATTTTTAAGCAAGAGAATCCGAGAGAAGTTCGAGTCTTGTTAGATCTTTGTATGTTGAAAGTCTTGACGAAATACTCTCTAGGCTGTGCAGAACCTGACCAGTCATAGGTCCCTCGATTGGTTTCATTGCTCTGACAAATGGGTCCTAGGTAGCTAGGTACTTCTCTTTCTAGATCCCACACACGCAGGACGAAACGCAGCATAGCTATAAGCTGCCGCTTGCTTTTTCCATTAGGGGAATATAAGCATACAATTATATGCGATGTACGGATATTCCCAATCAGGATACGGAAGAGCTCTCCCTCACTAGGGTTGCCATCCGGAACCCGAATCGAGGGATTGAGATCGCGTTACCTTCTTTAAGGCAGTCCGTCCCGGCATCGGGATTTAGACTCACGGCCATTACTTTTCTTTTTATCACGTTGCCTCATTGCCTCAAACAGCAAGTTGATCCGTTCTTATTTTAGAAAAATCACACTTGGTGCATTGTGATGTATTGATCTATCCGTGGACCTGGGCGGGACTGCACTTGACTCCAATGGTCGTTTCCAATATAATTTTCTTTTCGAAGGAATGCTTTGCCTATCTTGGTAAACCGCATCGAACTGCCGTCCGTGAGGTCTAAGTAGAACAGGCAGAAAGGAGTTCATCGTATGGACCTGAGACCACAGCGGCGATCGATCGGTCAGGGGTAATGCCACCGGTTCCTGGCACAGTCGCAAAGACAGATGTGCCTAGCATATCCGTAATGAAAATTGCATTCGCAGAATTGGCAGGCCGGTCCAGCCCCTTTTCTTACGCATTTTCAACAGGAAGATTTATGGTCTGGCTAGGTAGAATGAGTGAAACCGCCACAGCCAGCAAGTTTTTCTTTTTTCCGTTCCAGCTGAGGCACATGACAGGGGCTTCTCACACCTGAATATATTGGTTGGGACACCGAGGCGTATCAACCTCACCACTTTGTGTTCATTCATTCAAAAGCCATGTGGTCAGTAAATGTTTTATAGACCAAATATATGTCATTGCTGTCCCGGACCCGACTGTCTTCTGACCTTTCTGCGGGGCAGAATCGGATTGCCACGGCATTTGTTCATATACACTACCAAGTACGCCCCCGGTCGTGCAAGGTTGAAATATGGGGGGGGGGCAACACAAACACCATGGGTAAGGGCCCCTTGTAGCGGTCCCATGCGTTTGCTCACAAAGGCCCGGTGGCGACGAGATGAACAGTTCGTTTTTTCTCCTTCACTTTCCGTGGTGTTTCCACGCCTTGCCACTAGAGGTCATCATATCGTGCTTCGTAATACACGCCATTTTTGGGGGGAGGGGGCGGGGGGACAAGGGCGTGATGTGCGATCCTAAAACACAGTACTTGGCCAAGGTCAGTGGTAAATGGTAAAACTACCGCAATAACGTCGGCCGCCATATTAGATTGAAGACTGCCTACTTCGAAACCTCTTTATCAGTTCATGCACTAAGCCGTAATAGACGGTATGAGTCTAGACCTCAGCAAAGGCTGGCCAGATGACGAGCGGAACCCAGCAGGGCGTCACGTTTTTGTCACCCAATGAACCAAGCGGGAGACTCTGATCCGTTCCCCGGGCGCTTTGGTCTCTCGGCCGGGCAGATTACCGAGGACAATCAGCCCCATTTGCTACTTCATCAGACTTCAAGCTGTGACACTCCAGGGTTGGCATACTCTTCTTTCTCCATTTGCGGACAGTCGATGGAGCGAAGACGATCCGCGTCAGCACTGTTCGCCCTGGCAGGATCGTCGTCCGTGAACCCCAGAGTCTGTTATGGCAGTGTTTTGTCACCCGCTTCAGTCGTGGACTCCTTGACCTTGGCGGATAAGGGGAAGCCCCGGGAGCACGAAGAAGGCCACATGATGGCTCCTTATAGCCAGGCCTCGCCTCCCAGTAAGACCTGGTTCCCTGTCCCCGGATCCTTCGATCATTGGGACCCTTTTAATACATCGCCTTGACCTTGGCACCTGGGGCATTATCGACCTCGTACTTCCTTCATGCGGTATCGATAATCGCTGCAATGCGCATAGAAGCCCATCACGTCGATATGGGCACAGTGTCCTGGAAAGACCTCCCCCACGACGACTACGGTCCCCAGTTGCTTCTCGCCGTATGGGCGTTTGTCTGCGTGTCCGGCAGCTTCATCGGCCTGAGGATATATTGCAAAGTCTCGCGCCTACGAGAGCTGTGGGTGGATGACCACGTGCTGATCGCATCCTGGGTATGTCTTCATCTTACAATCCGGTGTCTGGAGGATGGACTGTGCTAACACGTACAAGTTCGCTCTCCTGGCTTTGGGTGTGTTTGTCACCGTCGATGTATCTTATGACTTTGGCAAACACAACTGGGACGTGGCGCAAGATAACTGGCCGTGGCTCCTGCTCTACGCCAACCTGGGTGGCTCGTTCTCCATCATCGCAGCGGCATGGTGCAAGACCTCCTTCGCGCTGACCCTCTTGCGCATCACGCGAGAGTCCTCCGAGCCCTGGATAAAGCGGCTAGTCTGGTTCATCATCCTCTCGGTTAACATTGCCCTTGGCCTCAACGTCTTGTTCACTTGGATCCAGTGTTGGCCAATCGAGAAGACTTGGCGGACAGCGACGCCTGGAGAGTGTTGGCGTAAGAGTATACCGGTGAACTACAACGTATTTGCCGCGTCGTATTCCGGGGCAATGGACATTGTTCTTGCAATTCTGCCCTGGAAGATCTTGTGGGGTCTTACCATGACCAAAGGAGAAAAGCTCGGTGTTTTGGTTGCCATGAGCATGGGTGTTTTGTGAGCATCAACGCGGCCCCGGCTGGCCAGTATCGTGACTGACTTTAAGCCTACACAGCGCTGGTGCAGTATCGTTTATCAAGATACGGGCCCTTGCCGCCATTGCATCCTTCGATATCATCGACACCGTCGAGTTGGTGATATGGGGTGCGGCGGAAAGCGCTGTGACCATCATCGCGGCATCGATACCCGTCTTGAGAGCCCTGTTTCGTGACACCAAACCCTCTCCAGCAAGATTCGCCATCGACGATGAGTCAATTATACGACAGTCTCACACGGCTTCGTTAGCAACAGCCATTGCTGGGTCCCCGAAGAAGAGCAGACCAAAATCGGAGCTAGCGTTAGTGGAAGGGAAAGACGGCCTGGCGCGGGGCTACGAAGACAGACGCAGTTTGCCTTCATGGCCTGTCGGAACGAGAACCTTCAGGATTTCTTGGAGAAAAGGGGGCCCGGTGGCACAATCAGGTCCGTCTAGACAAAATGGCGACGACACATGTATCCAAGACAGAGTTTCTGCAGAGTTGTCTCGACGATCATGTTAGGTTAATAACCAATAATACGAAATACTGTATAATAGTCTTCCATCCGCCATCAGCCAGTGTTCGCGGAACGATCCGTGTATTGTCAACCAGATTCTGGGCTTTGGACATTGGGCTCGGTGAAAGTCTCCAGTAGGGGCAAATGCGGACCTATTCCCAGTCTCAGGTGTTGTTCGTCGGCGGTGCTATTGTCCATGTACACGGTTTGACGGGCTTATGCCTGCCTTCTTCGCACCGTGGTGTCTCGTAGTATTCTGCAAAACACTTTCTTTGATAATGACATCTTCCCTTCATACCGATATTATCTTGGCCGACCTGGACGTAGGCACCCGAACCCCTGCGAGTCAGGTGAAGTAGTTGTAATTGTTTGGCGTCACTACAGACACGGTTTCGAGAAAACACACTCAATGAGCGCAGTTTGCTTTCTCCAATTTTCCCAATCACCAAACACCCTCAAGGGGCTGCTTTACCCCACCTTTGCGAAACGATACGGGCGGGGCTTCAACTCACCGCCATCACTGTCAAAGCTCGAGAACGACACATCATCTCTGCCACATCACAATCATATCCTCGTCTCTTTGATCGCCTCGATCCAGTCTAGACTCAAATACCAGCAAACATGCCCTTGAAAGGAATCTCCCCTGTCATCTCGCCTGACCTACTCAAGGTCCTGGCTGAGATGGGCCACGGTGACGAGATTGTCCTTGCCGACGCCCACTTCCCGTCGCACTCCATCTGCCCGCCCCATATCCCCGTCCTTCGTGCCGATGGTAAGTTTTGTTCCCCGGTGATCCTTAGTGGCCAGCCAGAGACTGGACACTTGGAGAACCAGCTGCTGAGCCACAGTCAACAGGCATAACCGTCTCCCGCCTTCTGGCTGGCATCTCTCCGCTCCTTGAACTGGACAACTACGGCGTTGTGCCGGTGCTCATGATGGAGGTCGTCAAGGGCGACACCTTTGACGCGAGCGTTGAGGGCGACTTCCGGTCGTCGCTAAAGTACGACGGTGAAATCGAAAAGCTGGAACGGTTTGCCTTCTATGAGCGTGCCAAGAAGGCGTTTGCGATTGTGGCCACAGGGGAGACGAGGAAGTACGGCAACATCATCCTCAAGAAGGGCGTTACACCTATTGAGGAATAGGAGGCGTGCGGATTGATATGGTTCAAGACTGCGATATAGAATGTGTAAGGTGCTGGCTGAAGAGAATACTGAAATCACGCATAGTTTTATGTTAGCTCCCTTTTGATTTACTCAATGAGAAATTCAAGACCGGCGAGGGCTTTGAGCTCTTTTCTCGAAGTGTCTCGATGCAGAAGCGAAGCCATTCGCGTAAAGCTGAGCCGGCTATAAACTAACAGAAAAAACACCTGGTGCACCCGGGATTGGGCGATAATTGAAGGAAGTCACTGTCCAGATACGAAAACCATTAATACCTATGGTCCATAGACCCATGCGTGAGAAGAAACAGGTTATGTATGAGAGCCACTGGAATCGCAAGGCACTAGAGCTGCATGTCTTGAACCTCCCTTTGCAATGCTTGTCTCATGTATCATACTGAGAGAATCACAAAAATTGCATTTATGAGATAGGCCTTCAATGTCATTTCCAAAGTATCACTAAGCAACACCACCATTGCCGATGGTGCTTCTGATAAGCACGCCTGCCTCTTGGTGATTTCGTGGTACCATGTGCCTTGACGGCATGTTCCCAAAATTGACCAAGCAGGTCTTACGACTCAACAAGTAACAAACGATGTTGCTCCGCCAGACAAGGACAGACGCCGCGGGACGTCATTTGTATAGGCAGGCGAAATCATCTGACGGATGACTCCCTCGGAAGGGAAGAACTATTATGGTACAGATCACATAAAGATATGATAACCTTAAGTGCCCCTTTGTAGGTCACTGAGCGCTTAGTGCCAAGGACTAAGGCTCACTGCTAATCAAATAGTATTATAAGAGATATCGGGACTTCTACATAGGATGGACTCTGACGCACTTAAGGACAGACTTCCATAGCTTCTCGGCAATGAACTTGTAATACATTCTTGAAGCATCTTCCAGTAAACATGTGACCTAGTGGTGAAATTGGAAAGTTATATGAGTTATTTTTAGAACTATCAAGCGCCTAACTGTGCACGGAGGGATCGACAGGCCAGCAAGCAAACGAACTACTCTAAGGATTAAAAACCTAATATATGAGCTTCGTTGCACAATTCTGGTTGTTGAAACATGCGCCCCAAGCCTATTCAACTGATAGTGATTGAGAGAACCATTGTAGTTGGCGTGTGCTTGACAAAGAAGTTTGTCGGAATAATCTCACTCGCCCCTCAAGGGTTTGATTCGTTGCTTGACTTAATCCTATGGAGTACTCCGTACTCCTCTTATAGAACGTCAGCAGGTATGCGTCGATAGCGGGGTCCGGTAGACAGCCCAACGCATCCAGAAGTTAATTCGAGCCGCACCATTTTGCAACACAGTGACGAGCTGCCCCCAAATCTGGCATCCAGTGTGCCATTGGTTGTTACTTGAGAAAGCACTAGGACAATGTGCTAGACCTTCTCGTGGTGTCTAGTGATACCTGGGTGTTTTGGTTATCAGGATGCTGCATGAAACATCCCCTCTTCACGCAGGGGCGGAAATACTAGAGCTGCGCAGAGAGAATGGGGGTATCAACGCATTTGGCGATGTTATCCTGGGATATTAATGCGGTGAATCCTCATATACCTCTATGATGTGCTGTCCTATAGTAAAGATTGGTCTGCACACCATGCTCATGCGCCAGGATGATGCTAGGAGTTTGATCAGGCGCTGCGAAGCGGCACTGAGTGTATGGACTTGCACTTTGCGATACGACCGAAAATACAAACACGAGAACTGCCAGTTGCCAGAAAAGCGGGGATTTCGCCCATGTTGAAGTCTTCCTTGAGCTTCCGCACGATGCCGAGGCTTATGTTAAGATGATTTATCCGTAGTTAGTACGAGATAAGACGTAGCATAGGGCACGGAGCTCTCGGTTTTGTCTCCACACATTAGACAATCCAAAGCCTCCATTCGCACCGGCACCGGCGGAGGTGAAAACTCAAAAAACGCTGGCGAATTGATAAGCAGGTATCCGCCAAGAGGGGGTGAGTGAGCCCCATAGAGTCCCGTTATTTACGTCAGTGAGGGGAACATCGTCGACGTATTTATCTCCTTGCGATTCCGGCACTCTATATCCATTTCCACCAGCATCACCACTATCAACCTACACACAAAGTCGAAGACTGATTAACGAAATCCTCACCACACGCAAATCGACCTACATAACAACAGTCAGGATGCCCGCCTCCGTCACTGTTCTCTACCCCAACGAGGCTGATGCCAAGTACGACTTCGATTACTACGTCAACAGCCACATGCCTATGGCTGCCGCGCAGTGGAAGTCGTCCGGCTGCACGGGCTGGTCCGCAACCAAATACCAGCCCACCCCCGATGGAAAGCAGCCCAAATACTCCTTCGCTGGTATCCTCGTCTTCGAGAGCATTGATGCTGTTCACAAGGCGCTCGCTTCTGCCGAGACCGCCGCTGTCATGCAGGATGTACCCAACTACAGCAACAAGCAGCCTGAGATAATGATCGGAGAGGACGCCAAAACGGTTGCTGCTTAGAGGATGATACCGCGAACAGACTAATATTGAAGGCAGGGGGGTGGTCTGATATGAATGGTAGAAAGGTGGTCACGTCGGATATATGACATCAGATAAGACCTATAGCACCAAATAAAAACTTACTCATTCAACATCAAGTTCAACCATAACACATTGGCAGAACTCTTGCATCCTAATGACTCGTGAGGCACTTGTCGCCGTATGAGAGTCTAAGTAACCATCAGCGTAACCCCAAACACTCGGGTCATTAGTAATGAAACTCCAATCACCTGTGGCATTCATGTCCGGTAAATCTACGCTGACCCCTTCAGCAGGGTGAGTCTTGGCCGTAACTGGGCCCATGCCATCCGCCTAATATCTCATTACTACGTTAACTCTATTGCTGAAACTTGAAAACATTGTAAATACCGTTGTGATGTGAAAATGAACGAGCATAACAACAACAGCTCCGAGAGAGCAACCACATAGAAAAAGAGTCATACATTTGTGAGAAGGCCTAAGGGGGATCCTCTAAGCAGGGAATTGTACCCCTTATTATGGCATTGTAGCTTGTAAGTTGCGCACGTCGTCAAGGGTAAGGGTACTGAGTTGTGATTGGACTCAGGTTAAGCGCAGCCTCCCGACAACAAACATACGGTACTAGACTATCCAGCGGGTACTTTGAAGTGAACTTTGATAGTTATTATCGAATAGAACGAAGTATCAGATACTATCCGAGGCTTTTCAAGATCCCGGATGGGTCAAAGCTTCTCCTTCTGAGGAAGTAAGTTGCTAGAAAAGCTGCCTCCATCGAGTTTGATAACAGCGTTTGGAGGATACAGTTCATATTATATTGTTACATTGGGGAGGCTTTTGCCAATGCTGCCGTATGCCTAATTAAAATATGTAAGAAGAGAGTGTGTTGAATAGTCCAGAACCATTATCTTTCATAGCCATGTCTCATAGAACCGTACGGCTTGCACAAATGCGTCTCCCTTGGCAGCCTTCTGCACAGGGTTATTGAGGTTGGGATGCGTAGCGAACCCATGTGGCGTCCCTCCATAGAGTGTCATAGTAAACGGCTGACCTGTGGTCCCCAAAGCTGCCTCAATCTCAGCTCGCCTTGCGGCCTTCATGCCGGTGTCGGCCTCTGCAAGTCATTTGGTCAACATGGAGAGCCTATAAGAAAGCATCTCAGCATGGAAAGAGAAGAGATGACTTACCAGCAGCAGCTAAACTCGCTGGTCCGTTAATGGCTTTTATTTCTTCGTCTCCAAGTTGACTTGGGTGAGCGGCGAAGCCCACCTGTACCCCTTTGTTATCGGGGATCCCAAGAACACGGAAAGCATAACGACCGCCAAAGCAGTATCCTGTAGATGCAATTTTCTGAACGCCCATTTGCTCACGCAGGTACGAAACTGCCTTTGCGACCTTCGGGTCTGTCACTTCCGGACCATGGGCCCCAAAGAACTCGGTCGCGTTGAAGTCCGCTTTTGGATCCTCGGGCCTTGGTTTGCCATCAAACAGGTCTGGCGCAACTGTTACGTAGCCCGCGCGAGCGAAGCTGTCAACAAGCCTTGGATGAGGTCAGCGGCTTGCGTCACTAATTTGATTGATAGAAACCATTTAAACCAACAGTTTGTTCTCAGTTGACTGGATTCCGAAAACATCGGTTAGTAACAAGACGCCGTATTGGTTGGTTATGATTGTTCCAGGAGCTTTGCCGCTTTGATTGGCAGGCATCGCGATGTAAAGATCAACTATGTTTGGCAGTCAGATACGCGTGAGAACAGTGAACCGTAGTTCATGACTCACGTCCATTGAAAGAGATGACCTGACCCCTCGGCGTGCCAGTGAAAGCCAACATAGACAAGTCGGCGATAAATCCCCCTGCGACCCCAAAGAAGGATATAAGTCTAAGCAGAGTGCAGAAGAAATTGTTGGCGCGCATCATGTCTGTATGGCCCCCTCCAATCCTTGATACCAGAAAAGAAGAAATCACAGCTGGGATAATCAGGTTAAGAGATTCTAGGCCGCAGTCGCAATGTTCCAGCGATAAGTACTTGAGGGAGACAATTTAAGTTGCCTACCTAGGCATTGTCCCTGCACCTATATCCAAGTATTTTAGTCATCAGCCACGTAACCCCGGGGTTGGCATAACGCGGCATTCAATAGCCACTTTGACTCGAGCACTGGTCATCAACGCTGCTAAATAAGGGTTTAAGCTTTCTTGATCGCAACAAGGGTTTGTTGGCAATGGTCTTGCGCCTGCAGCACGAAAAACAAAAGCATTGACGCGGCCTATTTTAATGTTTTATCCGATCATGATTGGGACGAAACTATACCGAAGATGACCGAGAGAATCTTAGCCATAGCCACACACTAGTATGCAACATCAACCAATCGGCTGGTCGACCAGTCACCATAGACGGTGAGTCGTTTCGTTCTTGTCTCAAACGAAGCTTGATGTAGTGGCACGACACTTTGTTGTTAGGTGAGAGTGCCTCATCTGGCTGCTCACACTGAAATGGCTGCTTTCATCCAGTAACGCGATGCCTGCGGTGAGCCAAGGTGAGCAGGGTGAGTAGGTAAGAGGTAAGCTAGGAATATTAGTGCACGCATTAGCGCTTGAAGCTAAACGTTCGCTGAAACCAGAGTTGGGTCACAACAACTCGGCAACCCTAATCCTGAAGAATTGTGAACTGGCCCCCTCCTCTAAGTCGAAGGAATAGTAGTCCCTAGGAACGGTAAATGAGCACCTGCTCAGAACCCCCTAATCCTAGGAACAGGGAACTGGCCCTCCCCAATCCTAGGAACTGTTAAGATATGCGTCCTCCAGTAGTGTACCCAAGAGTTTGTATTGTGTGTTCTGCTAGTAGTGATCTATTACTTTTATATCAATACCGCCAGTTCGAACGAAACCCATGTATTCGTCCATATTGTAGTTGTAGTGGCTTTATGTGTACCAACTAGTAAGTCTGCGCGTCCTGGTGGGATGGACTCAGTTCTGATTTGGTGCGCGAGACGATGGACCGATGGTGATCTTGAAGCTGTAACTGTTGCAACCTTGGGATAGGTCGCCCTTGGGGATAGGGGCAGGTAGCTCTAAGACAGTATTGCTTCCTTCGAAGAAATTCGCAACTATATTGTGCTTGGCGTTCGTCGCTTAGTTGGTGTTCGTCATTCCGGTTAAGCGAACGCGAGCCAAAAGTTTGGGTCACTGTCCGGATGCTTGAGGGCTGCGATTGTGGAGTCGAACGGCAGGACATCAGTTGCGTCGAAGTAGATCCCTCTCTCGTTAAAATAAGTCTGACAATCCTTCAGCATGGTTTCTGTTTGATGAGCGGTGCTAGCCTGGGGGGCGGACCCTTGTTCAGGCAGTGTAGTTGAGAGGTTTTATGGCGGCGGCGGCAAGAATGAGATCAAGATAGTAAAGAGAGAAAAAGTGAATGGTATATAATAACCTGGTGAATTAACAAATCATCTCGTCTATTTATTTTACGCATCGCTTTTCCATTGTTTGTTACCCGATATTGAACGTCAGTCTGGGTTGTCACATTAAGAGACAACTGTCCTCACTCCTCAGTTGTCAATAGCTTCTTCGTTATAAGTATTTTCGCAATGTCCATAATGATTCCGCTGCCCGTTTGTCCATCGTAATTGAAGTTGCCATGGTGTCCATAATACATCAGCTGTCAATGCTTTATCAATTCTACCTACAGTTATGGTGTCTGCCATAAAGGCTGTTGCCACATGGTCTGTTTGTCCATCATAACATTCGTCAGATCGCTCTTCGCCGCAACGGCTATGATCACATTGTGTCACGATATATAAGCCACTGTTACTGCGCACGTAACTAACGGTATCGTTTTGTAACGTGAGGAATTGTTCACCATACCAGCCGTCGTTGTGTTGCCTCAACTGCCATAACAGCTGTTGAACGTAACATAGACAACGCATCTACTGTACCAAATGCCATCGCAGCTGCCTCCACGAGGTCCTTAGCAATTCACACTTTCTCAAGATTGGCTGCACACGGCCAAGTCGGTCCTCTTCCATCGTTGTATCGTTGTATTGCAGCCATCATACTATGTAATAGCTTTAGCAATAAACACGCCCGCTAAACCTGACCACACCGCTGCTTTCTGTGGGGTAACCATACGTACATGGCAGCTAAAACCAGACATCCTATCCAGCAATATTAGCCAGGTCACTCCCTCGGAGGACTTTGGACAATTATCTTGCCACTTCCCAGTGAAGAGAGATCACGTTGGGGCTTCGTCCAGTCGAAAAGGCAGAGCAACTAGGTGTGTAACGCATGACCGAAGCAGCATAACTACTGAGAACTGTTCAATCTGTGGTAGGTTGCAACTAGGGAAGCCGTGAGATTTACAAGGTGATTGAATGGTGAGTTCCCATTGTTGAATACTGCTACTAGATCAAATTCTGCTATTCGGTATGTGTTCCTAGGCGGCTTGCGGCACTTTCTATTAACAGACCACAGCACTGCTCTACGAGTTTATAATGTATCGGGTTGACAAATCATGATTGAAACAAGACATGCTTCATACTTTTAGCTGGCTATGACTCAGAACAGCGGCTGGTCTATATGTGAATACAAAGAAGAAGAATATAAACTAAAACTGTAAGAAATACAGCTCATGGTAAATAGACAAGGAACCTACTTTCGGCTTTCCTGGAAATCCCCATGACTTATGAAGCGGCCCGTATGTTCTGGCCCAGAGAAGTCAACGCAGGGATTACCCAGAGAGAGCCAACAGGCAACACGCGTTTCGAAGCGCATTTCAACTGCTGCTGACACCGCCTCACCTCGCTCCCTGAGTGTTCGGGCCATTATTGCCTCAGACCGTTCTGTCGCCAGAAAATCTACAGTAGCTTACATTGCCAGTACGACACTGCCAACCAAGACTGCTGTATATAAGAGCCATTTTTCTATGCCAAGCCCGCCGTTACAGCCACTACCCACACGAGAAAGAAGGGTGTTCCCTAAGTCGGTGATGCTGCTTTCGAAGTCGTTATAGTTTGTTGCGTTCCAGGCGGCGCCCTGTGCCCCTGGCACAGCCTCGTCGCCCGTAAAGGCGATGTATAAAACGTCGTTCTCGTCGTGTCCCGAGTTCCCATTTATGACGTCGCCGTAACAAGCGGTAGCCAGGGAAATGGAAGCCTCACCAATCATGGCTTGAGGTCCATCGTCCCCGTTTGTGTCTCCCCAGACTCCGTAGACCTAAGTGCGGCCTCGTCAGATTAAATCGTCTTTCACGTGTCGCATGTAGTTCAGGGACACATACCACTTGATTGTTGCATATCACGGCCATCACACTGAGCGGCTTGACGCCGTGTTGGCTCGGGTCAAATGTAGGCCATCCGCTTTTTGTCCCTTCGTTGCCGAAAACGACATAAGGATGCAGCGAGGCGTTGAGGTCCTGTTGACCTGTGTTATATCCTCTCAACACGTCGCGGAAAGTCGTCTCAGATTGAGTGTCGGTGGAGCTACCGCAACGTCCATCTCCTCCGCCCTGCGCGCCATCGCAGTCTACGTCCATGTTGGCAAGGTTGCCTCCCCTTCCTTGCAGATAGATGATTTTGTACTTGTCTACAAAGTCCCCGCAGTAGACGAAGTCTAAGGTTTGCTGTGTCAGTATCTTTGCCAATCACGCATTGGGTTGGATGAGGCATGTATGTACCTCCGCTGTCCCCCTCAGTGCTATGAAACCCGGTTGAGAGAGCATGTTTGCATTTGCCCCGGACTCGGATGAAGCTATAGAAATTCTTCACATCCCCCGGTATGTCAATAGTCAATGTCTGTGTAGCTAGAAGGGCCAGAAGGACAAAGAGGGCGGTAAGAGGGATCATATTGACTAGAAATAAGTCCTGAAATGAGAGAACAACAGAAAAATATTGTAAGACGGAACGTTCGGGGGGCCGCCAGCAAAGTAGCAGTGTCAAACCGCCTCTTGGCGATCACGTGATGCGCATCGGGCTCATCTGAGCACCATCAATTAGTTGGTGCACAACCCTCACTTTGAGACGAACATGAGTGTGCCTTAAGTCTCGGTCGAGACTCAAAACAGTGTTGCTGCTGAAGCGAGAAAAGCAATGATGAGACGGCCCGCCGTTGCGGTAATTGGGCTCCACGGACGCAGCGATTCCCTTGGAACATATCGTCCGAGTCAGTGCCGGTGTGCTGCAACATTAATCGAACTGAGGCGCCATCAAACATTGAATTGATCCACGCAAGGATGTTTTGATTCGCCGCCCTACAGCGTTCCATCTTTGTACAATATGATTACTAGGCCTGGTGGAAGCGGGAGTGGCGCCGCCGCCGCGCCGCTGACTCGAGGCTGGTTCCAATAGGCACCCATTGCGCCGTGCCAAAAGGATTTATGAGTCGGTCCGATTTCAACTTGGAAAGCAACTTTACTGCACGTCCTTCCGCTTCATGTCAAGAAACTGGTTTCGGATAGCTTTCCCAATTCGACATTCAGAATAATATCGGGGAGATTGACAGAGCTGTTTTGACCCCGAAAAGGAACCAAAACTGTACGCATCTCGTGCATGGACAGCAACTGGCGCGTTCCACATAAAGTTTCATTAGTCTCGCTTGTTGTCAGTGGATCTTGGCATTCATCCACGTGGAGATAGACTCCAACCAGTTTGGCCCATTGCCCATAATTGCCTTCAGGTTCAAAACTATATATGCATAGGCTTCGGAGAAGTAGCCCGTCCACTTCAGCTGACAACAGCCGCAGTTGCTCCAGCTGACGCTGCGCTTGCCGCACTAGATGTGGTGACCGCAGGATACCAAAGTGAGAACCCGGAAATCACAGCCGCTGTCTCCCAGTCCTTGCCGAGCGTTCTTGTCAACCCTGTGCCCAAGAATCCAAACTTATAGGTCTTAGTCATGCTCCACGATGTGCTGTGAGCCAGAACAGCAACAACTTCTTTGCCGTCGCTCAAGTAGCCAAACGATTTCTGGCCAGCCTGAGGGGTCTCCATTCGCACCAGCTTCCACCCGTGTGAATGGCCGGCAAGTTTCTTGATCTCATCCCTATGTGAAGTCCTCCACTGGAATTCTTCTATTACTCCCTTGCGCAGTTCGATGCGAAAAGCGCGCACTTCACCCCTGGTCCGACTCACATCCTCCGGTCTCTCGAAGGGGATTTCTTGCTCCTTTCCATCTCCTCCTTGCAAAGTAATAGTGGCCTGGTGATGCGATCTCATGGTCTTTCTTCTCACTGTGGCAATGACCGGTCCTTTGTCGCTGGGGCCACTGTGGAGGAAAAGCGATTGCTTCTTGGAGAAAGCCTCAGTGTCGAAGGAGACGGTAAACATTTTCTCATCTGACTCTGGTCCAAGGAAGTATAGCTGCTTCCATTTCCACTGGCCGTAGCAGTTGAATGTTGGAGGAAATCTGGCGGTTGTGGCCACTAATGATGTAGAGTACGTCGTCATATGATGGAACCTCGGGCATTGATCTGCCGGCATATTTGCATCATAGTCGTAGTTAGGTTCTTCAAACGATTTTCGGGTGCTGCTATCCATATCGAATATACGAAATGCCAACGGTCTTTAATTTCGACGAGAAATGAGAGGGAGCTTGAAGTACTGGTCAACACACAACTCTCGAGTGCGAAAGACAAAAACCTTCAAGGGTTTAATAATAGTCAGTTGAAGAGGCAGATGACCATGACAGGGAAGCGGCGCCGAAGTTAATCGTGGTTGTACAGCATCAATCGGGTCGCCCGGTTGATACTCACCTATCACCTCAGGTGACTTGTGAGGTAGATATCGTTAAATTGCCCGATTGACCAATCCGCAGTCGACAACTAAGTCTCGCTGATTACCAGCACTTTAGCGCTGACATTTTTCTCTTCAAGCTAGCAGAAGCCTAGGGTATTTCCATGATGAGGAAAATATAAGTGTTTATGTCGGAATATGAATAATCACGTGACTGCTGGTTGGATATATGTATCCAGCCGGCCAGCAAACAGATGTATCTGACTTTTCCCTTCTTCACTAATCAATTCAACAAGTGCTGTTTTCACCTACGTCGTGACTATATTGCCATGGATCGATTTTTCCCTGGGATACCAACAGTTTATCTCCTGATTTTGACGCGTACGGCGGATGCTGCGGCTAGCCTTTCGATTGCTAGAATGACGATTACGTAGCGGTATATGTTGCGGTTTCTTCATTTATTTATTCTTTTCTCTATAATTATGAAAAACGGTCTGACCTTACAAAGATGTGATCAAAATTACTGAGCAGAAGGCTGGCAACAAGCGTCGTCTGCCACGCATAAGATGAACCTGCTCGCCCGACTACGGGATCAGTAGATACTCGGTGATATGGGAGAGCTTCTTTTGATATTATCAGCGGTTGAAACAGGTGTAAACTCGTCGGAATATCGGTTAGGACCCCAATGAAGCTGAGCGAACGACGTAGCCTCCGACTCACTGTTGGATATTCGTCGCAATCAAAGACCAGGCCTGCGCCTGTATAGGCTCAGCTGCGAAGTTAAAGGACCACAAGATTCAGGGTTATTACAAAGGCCCCGGCAGTGTTATTTCCAAGCTCTGCCGACTATAAGGGTTCAAAAGATTGTTGACAGGTTCGAGCGACGTGCGCACCATCTCGTCGGATGAACTCTAAAATCTTAGAAATATTTTATTGATGACTCAAGCCAACGACATAGCCTCCAGCTGACAGCATTTGGCTTGTCTTTGATGAATCCTCTGTTATGATGTAGCGGTAATGTGCTGGGCACGGGATCTAACGACTACTTGTGCTGATGGATAGGCCTCAACATATATGAAGTAAGACCATCTCGGGGATGGCGTCGCTATATTCAGAGTTCTTGTTTCGTGTGATGGCAAAAGTGAGACCACAGAACCACAGTTGTCACTGCTACAACTGCACTTAAGTACTGTCACGACATTTTGCATGACAGAACCTTAGTGGAGTCTCAAGACACAGCAAGCGAAAGTTTTCGTTGATGCCACACAGCCTGTTCACGTAATATGTACCAGTTGGGGTCAATCTGAACGCTGAGCTAATTTGGACCTGAGAAAGGTCATGAACTTTGGGGATGAGGAACAACCCGAAATATGTATGGAGGCGTATGTGCGGGGAACACCATCTATGAGATCCAGCTGTTTGATGACATGTGCTTGCGCTGGAATTGTCCACCGGCAAACGAAGGTGCATTGTGACTATGAGGTTTGTTGGCAAACCCATCTCTTTGCGGTGCGTTGCCCTCTTTGTATATCCAGATCAAAATATTGCATTTAGAGGTCCCGGTAGAGAGGGACGAAGCCAGTTGGGGTCTCGGAGAGTGGCTCGCGGGTGCGCGTCAAATTTGTCTCCGAACAGTCAACTCTGCGCAACTTGGCTGGGGGAGTTTCAAGTTCATGATGCAAGTCGCAAGTGAGAGCGAAACACCACTCACTGCGGTTCCCGGTGGTGACGCTTACATCTTTACTAATCCGCAACGGCATACTGCTGGGGCTTAGTATCGAATCCATAGGAACGAGGAGGCGCTGCAGGGATTCAAGGTTCAAAGCGGACCGCCACGCCGCCTGAACTGCTCCTTCATAACGTTCGATGGCTTGTTGTTAACCGAAGTCGGCCATGTGAGGGGAGAAATTTCCCGACGTGGATGACCGACAATCGGATCCTTCGGATGAGGTTCCCTAGGCTTGCTGCTTCCTTCGCCGAAGAGTTAATTGCTCCTCCGGGCCGTCATCTGCATGTAGAGGGCACAAGCGTTACCGAGTCCCAGCAACCAAGAACAATACATCCCACAAGTGGTATGTATGCTGGTCTATGAGAGGCGGTGGAGCCGAAGCTACAGCAAGGCATTGAACTCTCGACTTCAATGACGACTTGACTACAGTATACGGCAAATTCGCTGGGTCCTGACTTCATGATAAGCCATGGCGGCTCCTTGAAAGAGACATGAGTCGTTCCTCATTGACCAGGAAGCGATAATGATATTCGCTATATTCTCTATCGTATTCATCGAATAGCCTCTGCTTCGTCAAGTGCTGTCGACGAAACTATTAAAGGCACTTCCGTAAGCCTAGTGGCTGTTCTTTCTCTTTCCTAGCTACAATGATATGTGAGATTTCTGATGCCTCACGCCGATTCAGCCTGTGTGTCTCTGGGAAATGCAGGACTTACGCCTCGTGTCTTCTGCGTTGTATCGTTAGAAAGATCAGACGGTGGAAGCCGAGTCAGCTACTTCGCCACGCATTTCGTAAACTTGCTTCTTCCATGTTTATTCAAAGACTTTCCTCTTGCGTCACATATGCTTACACCTTGGTGTTCCGCGGTGCCGAACAACCAACAGTCGGTGCCGTGCTCGGCAAGTGCGGCTGAAATCACCGCCCTTTGCATTGGCAAACGTTGTGAACTACACGATACACCGGCAGAGACTCTGGATCCTTCGTGAGGACTTAGTAAAGTTGGGTATTACTCAACCGTTTATGCGATGGGCAGAATACACCTTTTCAAGGTCACCACGGAGAGAAAGGGTGGAAAACTGCCACTTATAAATACCAAGTCCATCGCTTGATGTTCAACAATCTCCTTCTTCATCTCATCCAACAGGATTCAAAGTGATACAGCCACCTCTTTAGCTCATTATTCAACACTTTCTATCTTTCCAATTTTCTACTTATTTTCCTCCTTTTCTTTTTTCCAACCTGCAAATATGCATATCCCATCCTTCTGCCAGGCTGCCGCCATTGGCATGGCTTTCTATGCTATGACCGCCGTAGCTGCTCCCGTGAATGAGCCTGACGCCACGGACATTGCAAAGGTGGGCTTCTTTTCAGGCTTTCCAACGATGAGATTCTAAACTGACCCGTGCAGCGCATTGCCGGAAAAGCTGTGAGGAACACCCGGCACTTTGTAAACTCCTAATATTTTGTTCCACTCATCAGTCGAGCGTCCCTTGAGTTGATTGCTGACGAGTACATGCTTGCAACAGCCCAATGTGGACAGCATGCCGGTATGCAAAGCTCGTGCCTGAAGTTCTCCTCTCGAAGGCCATTACTAACGCGGTGATGCAAGGACATGAGCAACGCGGCTCCTAAGGGCGATGATAAAGACGTGCTTTTGACGACAAGTGACGAGAACAATGGGATTACTGAGGACCGCAGCCGCAGGTGCCGACGTGACATAGATGGCAAACGAAGGGACTGCGACGACTACTACTATGGCGACGACGATTATGGTCGTCGAGGCAGAGGCCGCGGCCGAGGCCGCGGTGACGGTGGCGGAGACTACAACAACCGCGCCGTCCAAAACGAACCAGAGGAGGACGGCAAGGATCTCGCCAAGCGCCGTGACGATGGCCCCGACGACGGTGGACGCCGAGGAGACAGAGACCGGGGAAGAGGCCGGGGCAGAGGACGCGGTGGCCGTGGCGGGGACTACGGCCGCGCCGTCCAAGACGAACCGAACAAGGACGCCAAAGATCTCGGCAAGCGCGGTTACGGCGATGATTCGTACCGCCATCACGGCGACGATTCGTACGGCTACCATGGTGGTGATTCGTACGGCTATCATCGCAACTGACACGGCCTCTACAACAGAGGAAGACGAGGAGGCTAGGGCGGCGACAAGGGGGGAGGATATGGAGGGAGGGGATGGGCCCCGGCCCTAGGAGGAGCACCTCTTAGAACCGTCAAGGCCACTGATGACCGGGAACAACGAGGAATTCGGAACGCTCAATGGGGACGGAGACAGTATTGGTTCTTTTCCACTTTCATTTTGTCACCAAACACTCCGTGTCAGAGCGAGCATTGGCAGGGCTTGAAGGAAGTCCGGTGACGAAGAAGAAAAAACGTGTTACTTGGAGACTGCACCATGTTGTACACGCGTCGAGATAACAACTACACCTATGAAGGTGGTTACATTCCTTCCACCGCCGTCTGCAAAACATTGATGGATTTACGTGAGAACAATGGCGACGCATGTGACACTGGCGTCCAGTTCAAACCACTGCGAGGACTGGAGATCTAACTCGGTCGATAAGTAACATTGCCGGGAGGCGATGCCCGTAGGACGTCGGTGCAGGCGACGGCTCTCGTCCAGTTGAGTGAAGTCGCAGGTGGCAAAGTCAGCCTCGCAAAGCAGAAGCGAAATGCATGCTCAAAGAATATACAAACACTGTACAGACCCAATGGTCATGATGCCGGCCTGGTATCGAGATCGACCCGTCTCGGAGAGCGGTTCCCGACCCACCGCAACGTCAGTCGGGGGCGATCGTCCGAAGATGGGTACAGCATCAGCATGATATCACCCCCGTCGCGATCAAACCATAAAAGCAACGACGCAGAGCCTTAGCTACAGCGGAAAGGAAGCATGATTAAAACACTCAGGGAGCAACAAGAGGACCAGGTCGATATCTAGAAACCTACCCAAGAAGAACCCCCCCTCCTCCATCTTTAAGTCTCTTCGTATATCATACACACACACACGCGCTATCGAGCATACCGCAGCCGAGATGGAACCCCAGCTCCCTAACAAGAACGAGATCCGCTCGCAGGCCGCGGCCGGCGAGCCAATCACCCAGACCGAGGCCTCGACCCTCGCCTCCGCCGAGACCGACGTGACCGGCTTCGGCCCCATCAAGGGCGGCACGGCGGCCACGGCGCAGAGCGTGCACGACAGGCAGCAGAACTTCATTGCGACGGCCGGCGACGCCGCGCGCAAGCCCGCGCGGGAGATCACAAAGGAGGACGCCGCGGCAATCCAGAGCGCCGAGGTAAGTTTCCCCCACGCATCCTCCTCCCTCGTAGCGATAGCCTTGCTGATACAAATGTTTCCGGGTAGTCTCGGGCGCTGGGCGGTCGGCCACCAAAGGGTTCGGCATCAGCGAACGCGCAAGCACTCGCCACCGAGAACGAGAAGCAGAAACAGACACAGGGTTAAAGAGAGAGAGAGAGAGAGAGAGAGAGAGAGAGAGAGAGAGAGAGAGAGAGAGAGAGAGAGAGAGAGAGGATGGCGGAACCACGGATGGGATTGTATGATAGCCGTTGCTTGGGCGACACGACGCGCCGGCGTTTCGTCTTTCCGCTGTTGGGAAGCACACAAATATACATTGTTAACTGCCAGACGGAGGGCCGGTCTAGACTATTTGCAAGGAGAATGGCCATTTCCATCAACGAGTCACGCTGCCATCCTTATTCACACACACACACACACACACACACACACACGGGGAGGGCGCAAGAACACCCATCTGACTCTTCCCTTGCCCCTATAACGCCGGCTCGACGTTCAACTTCAGCAGCCCCTTTGCGTCCCTCCAGGCGATCCCCTCCCACTCGGCCTCGCTGACGAGCCCGCTCCCCCTCAGCTCGTGCATGAAGTCCCTGCCCTCCCGGTTGCCCGAGAAGGGGTAGTCGACACTGAAGACGACCCTCTCGGCCCTCGTCTCCCGCAGCAGGCAGGCCATCGGCACCAGCGAGAGCATGCCGCTCGTCGTCGAGCAGGGGCGATATGTAGTGTTCCTCGATGGCGATGAGAGGCGTCATTTCGGGGTGAGACTGTCGATGCTTGTGTTTGGTGGGCCGGATTGTGAAGTGGGATTGTGGTGGAGGCTTCACCGGTACTGATTCATGGTAAACCAAGAAGATGACATGGATTTAGCTGTGTCAAGTGTATCAACTTCATGGCACCGCAAGAATCCCAGCGATGATGACATTGCGTGCCACACGCCAGCCAGCATCCGAGCACAGTGACGGACGCATGCGGAAAGACGAGCATAGAGAGATGGTGACACGACGCAGCCGTGCGGCTCTCGTGAACGTCTCACAGATGTACGTGGTAAATGGCGCGGCAGACTCGGTCCGGCCTAGTTACCAGCGTGATGAGCCCCCCTCCCAGCAACAACAGGAATCAACGATCGGAACCCCCGCGAAACCGGCGTGTCGGCCGCAACTAAGAATGCCCGGTCGTCGCATGGGCGGCCCAGGGGCCCGTCGAGACGGTGGCCGGCGCCGAGAGCAAACACGGGATCGAGAACCGGGGAGGGGGGCCGGGTCTCGTCGTGTCATGGAGAGTCACCACAGACTGTCGATATCACGAGTCAAGGAAACGCAAAATGCGCAAGCGGGATGCAACTGCGGGACAGGGGAGGGGGGGGAATAAACCGGGAGAGAAAGCAAATAGAAGGAAAAAAAAAAAAAGAAAAAGAAAAAAGCCCGGTGTTGCCGACGCGGAACCGGCACCGACGATGGTTCATCTCCGAGTACATCCAGACGGGACGCGCCGGCACACCCTGACCCGGGCGGGCAGTAAATTCTACCTACCTTGCAGGATCAAAGTTTCGCAGGCAAACCCGGGAAGGGGGCCCAATCATGACGAAGCGACGACATGCGAAATCTCTCTCCCTGGGCAGGGGGATCATCTCGAAATGCGACCGACAAAAAAGCCTATCCGGCGGATTTGCCCAGACGAAATGACACACAGCAAAGACAAAAAAGAACATGCCATGCACCTCCCGCACCTCCACGACCGGGCCGCCCCGATCTCGAGGAAGAGAGAGAGAGAGAGAGAGAGAGAGTAAAAAAAATCTGCAACGGTTTCCACAGAAAGACGTAATGGAACCCGGGGGGGGGGGGGGGGAGGCGAAGGGCCAAGATTTTTCCACGCCTTGGGTTGGATGGGAGGCAAAAAGGGGGAGAGGAGAGCTTGACCACCATCTCGCTACCGGCTTTTCCCCATCACCAGACTCGGACAACGAAGCGGGAATACCGTCCAACGACAGACTCTCCCCCAGAGGGAATATCACGGTTCCCAGGGTCCAGAGAGTCACACATACTTCTCGCGCGGCCGCTCGGCTTAGCGCGGTCCGGACGACGGATGCGGATGGTCATTCAAGGGGGGGGGGGGGGGCTGTCGTCGTAGGGCTGAAAAAGGACGACGAAAAAGATGGGATACACACACACGCACACACGTACCTAAGAGACTTGACGGCGAACAAGCTTCACCAAGCCCGGTTGGACGGAAAAGGGGAAAAGCTTGGCCTCGAGGGAACTTGTAACGCCGTCCTAGACTGTCTAGCCAGGGACGGTGGCGGCGGCCGGTAAGTGAAGAAAAGAAAGAAAAAAAAGAAGAAAAAAACCAGGGAAAAAAAGGAGACTGAGGGAAGACGACGAATGAATTCAAGAATATCTCTCTCTGCTCGGGCCAAGCTCGGTGAGAAGAGCGGGTGGCGCGACGGGTGGGAGGCTCTTTTTTTTACTTCTTCCTCGTTGATCCCGGTTCCCTTCCCCCGTCTCTACTACCGCTTGTTTCTGTCTGTCTGTCCGTCTGTCTGTTCATCCATCACCAAGTCCTGTTCAGTCACAAACTACATCTAAACAGCAGCCATGCCATGCCATGCCATGCCATGCCACGACATACGTTTGCTGCCATGTGCCCAAAAAGAACAAAAAACCGTCCCCCCACACACGCTTGGCATTTCCCGCCCCCAAAGTGTTGCGCTCCCCCCCACCCCGAAATGGGGAACATATCAAGAGATGGAGAGAGAGAGAGAGGCTCGACTGGACTCCATCCATGACCCCTGCTCCTTTTTTCGCCGCCGGTACCCGCGTGCCCGGGTGACCCCCGAAGAGGGTCGTCGCCGCAAACGCGCTACTAATACTATGTACACTAGGTAACCAGGGAGGACCATCGATTGGGACCAAGAGAGAGAGAGAAAGAGAGAGAGAGAGAGAGAGAGAGAGAGAGAGAGAGAGAGAGAGAGAGAGAGAGAGAGAGAGAGAGAGAGAGAGAGAGAGAGAGAGAGAGGAAGAGAGCGCAGACGAGGAGGGCATGATCACCGTCTCCAATCGGTCAACCCGCAACGGGCAACATGTCCAAGAGGGGTCTCGAGCCGCGGGCCATTGTCTCGAGCTCTCGCCTGTGCCTATCTCCGTCCCACTCCCACTGCTCGAGATTTTCTCCTAATATCTTGTTTTACACTATATCAGACCCGTCGGCCGGGCTCGCGATGTGAGTCGACGCCGAGTGGAACCGGTTGGGTAAGAGTCTTTCGAGAGGGAAAGAGGGAGAGAGAGAGAGAGAGAGAGAGAGAGAGAGAAAGGGCCCGGTATATTCTATTTAATCATGCCATGGGCTTTTTCCTTTCGTCTGGGTCCTCCTCCCCTCTCTTCTGTCCTAGTCCTCGTCCTCTCCTCTCGCCTCCCCTGCCCATCGCGTCGCATCGCCTTCGTCCTTGACTTCACGGTCAGGTTTCTTCTCTCACCCCTGGTCGTTCGCAGCAAAAGCCTGATCGTCGCGCGCGCGCGCGCATGTGTGTGTGCGTGTGTATGTGTGTGTGTCTGTTTGTGTGAATTCCATCCCTGTGAACCCACCCAACCAGCCATCACCGCCATCATCATGTTCAGCTCCAAGGAGAAGACGCCCCAGTCGAGCGAAGGCGAGGTCACGCCTAGTAACGGCTCCAAGACCGACCTCGAGACCGGCGAGACTGACGGCCTTCACCGCACCCTCCACAGCCGCCACCTGCAGTTCCTCGCCATCGGTATGTCACTCTTGACCCCTCCTTCGTCCACTACCACCATCTTCGTCCACCACCACCACCACCACCACCCTCATCCTTCTCGAGTACGTACGTCATTCTGACCATCGCAGGCGGCACCATCGGCACCGGCCTCTTCCTCGGCAGCGGCAAGGCCATCGCCACCTCGGGCCCCGTCGGCGCCCTCATCGCCTTCATCTTCGTCGGCTCCATCGTCTTCTCCGTCATGACGGCCCTCTGCGAGATGGCCACCTACATCCCCGTCCCCGGCGCCTTCACCTCGTACGCCTCCCGCTTCATCGACCCCACCCTCGGCTTCGCCATGGGCTGGATGTACTGGTTCAGCTGGTCCATCACCTTCGCCCTCGAGCTCACCGCCGCCGGCGTCATCATCCAGTACTGGAACGCCGACCTCAGCATCGCCATCTTCATCTCCGTCTTCTGGGCCGTCTTCACCGCCCTCAACTTCATGCCCATCCGCATGTTCGGCGAGGTCGAGATGTGGTTCGCCAGCATCAAGGTCGTCACCATCGTCGGCTTCATCGTCTTCGCCATCTGCATCAACGCCGGCGTCGGCCAGCAGGGCTACCTCGGCTTCACCTACTGGGTCGACCCGGGCGCCTTCAACGCCTCCATCGTCCCAGGCTCCGCCGGCAAGTTCATCGGCTTCTGGTCCGTCCTCATCACCGCCGGCTTCAGCTACCAGGGCGCCGAGCTCGTCGGCATCGGCGCCGGCGAGACAAAGGACCCCGAGAAGAGCGTGCCCAGCGCCGTCCGCTGGACCTTCTGGGGCATCTTCGGCCTGTTCGTCGCCACCGTCTTCTTCGTCGGCATCCTCGTCCCCTCCAACGACCGGTCCCTCCTGCTCGACTCCCAGAACGCGTCCGCCTCGCCCCTCGTCATCGCCGCCAACCTGGCCGGCGTCAAGGTGCTCCCCGACATCATCAACGCCGTGCTCCTGACGGCCGTCCTCTCGGCCGCCAACTCCAACGTCTACTCGGGGTCCCGCATCCTCGTCTCGCTCGCCAACGAGAGGTGCGCGCCCCAGTTCATGACGTGGACCAACAAGTACGGCACCCCCTACATGGCCGTCGCCACCACGTCGGCCGTCGGCCTGCTGGCCTACATGAACCTGTCGGCCGACGGCGGCGTCGTCTTCGACTGGCTCCTCAACGTCACGGCCGTCGCCGGCTTCATCAGCTGGTCGTGCATCAACGTCTGCCACCTGCGCTTCATGGCCGCCCTCAAGGCCCAGAACATCCCGCGCAGCACCCTGCCGTACACGGCGCCCCTGCAGCCGTACCTGTCCTGGTACGGCCTGTTCTTCAACGTGCTCATCATCCTGACAAACGGCTTCGCCGTCTTCATCGAGTGGAGCACCAGCGACTTCTTTACCGCCTACGTCAGCGTCATTCTGTTCGTCGTCCTGTTGGTCGGCCACAAGCTCTTCAACCGCACCATGCCTCTCAAGGCCATCGAGGCCGATGTGACGACGGGCACTCTGCGAGCGAGGTCATGATGTGTACGATGAAGATGAAGGAGAAGAGAAAAAAAGAGAAAGAAGAAGGGGGGGGGGGGGGGGGGGGGGGGGGAAGAAAAGGAAAGAAAAACCCCCCAAAGAGTGACGACTGTGACGGGTGACGGGTGAAAAAGTAATCTGATGTAATATTAGTTAGAATAGCTGCGATGACGATACCCATGAGTTCAACGGTTTGGCAGCCAAACTTGGCGTTCGGTCGTGTGTATATTGAAGCGATGGACATTCCCCACATCGTACCGCCATTGGCAGGCAACGGCGAGAATCATGACGAGACAATGGTATACAGCCCCACAGCGCCGCCGAGGCCGAGGGCGATGCTCCTCCCCAGGTTATACAGCCCCCAGCGGTCGACCAGCGACTTGGCGCCCTCCTGCTCCTCGTGGGTCATTCCGACGGCCATGATGCCCATGTCCCTTGTCCCCTCGGCCCTCCTCAGCAGCTCCCTGTTGATGTTGACCATGAGGAACTTGGTCCACGGCACGATGGCGAAGCAGAGGGCGCCGGCGACCGCCAACAGCCTCGACTTGCCGGCGGTGCCAGGCAGGTGGTGATGCGCAGCGGTCTGGTAGGCCATGTACCAGTAGCTCAGGGCGCAGGTGAGAACCGGCAGCGGGAAGACGCGGGTGATGCGCGCGAACATGCTGGACCACTGGCGCAGCATGAGTGGGGTCGGCGACTCGAGCAGGCGGGGAACGACGAAGACCGAGAGACTCAGGTTCAGCCCGGCAATCGCCGTGTTGACGAAGACGGTTGAGGCATGGATGCCGCGGAGGGGGTTCGGCTGGGAAGACATGGCGGCTGTATGCGTATTTTGGTGGTGATGGTGATGGTCGTGGTCGTGGTAGTAATGGTCTGGTGGCGTGCGTATCGTAAGTCTCGTTAGCAGCCGGTCGGGCAGGTTGGAGATTGTGAGAGGAACAATCAAGTCGTCGTGAGGAGACGATTGAGAGGGGGGGAGAGTGTAGTCAATAAGTCAGTCTGTATGTTGGGGGACGTCGAGACGACGAATATACTGATCGATAGGAAGGAAAGTTCGGCAGCTTGAGCGGGAAGCTGCGGGGTGGCGTGGGTGTGTGTATGTGGGATGTGACGGGCAGCGGGCGGCAGGCGGCAGGCGGCAGGCGACAGGGGGCAGTAAGCGGCAGGTGGGGACATCCGGTACAACACCTATGTACCTGTACAGGCTGTACTACCTGTATGTACCCGTAGCTAGCTAGGTGCACCGTAGTTTCCTTATCCGTACGGATACTCCGTACAAAGGTATAAGAGCGGTACGTACCCCTTCCGAGACCTATCACAACTACCTACCTACCTGTGCTAGACAAGTCGGTACGTACCTAGACAGCTAACAACCCCCCCACATGACGAGGGTCCGTCACCATCACCAACCATCACCATTACTTACACACACACACACACATCTCGTTTCGTAGACTACCGTCATATCATTCATGTCTGTCTGATTTTCTCCATTTGTGTAGTTACACCCATCACGTTCCCGCACAAGTCCGTCCGTCTCTGCCGGTAGGTGATCCTGGGCAACTTGTCCTCGACGCTTGCCACAATCACTGAACCACCTCAAACCCGACAATCTCGAACAAAACCTCGTCGAGATGCCGCGCTTCCTGCGCAGAGACAACACGTTGGCCACCCTTCTTCACCGCCGCACTCGACTCGCTAGTCCAACACCCCTCGGACTTTTTTCCTACACTCGAACAAAACACACGGATCAGCCCCCCTCCCTTGGGGGGGGGGGTTGAAAGGTAAAAAGAATAAAAGAAAAAGAAACCCCCCATCCAACCACGACCGCTCGTTCCAGAGAGCCAACCAGAGACTGAGCAGCCTCGAGAACGGCGGCAGAGGCGTGGAAAAGATTCGAAAGCGCACGAGCGGTACCTTTTCAGCAGCCCATCAGACCTGAGACATACGGCTGCGAGTCAACTCTGACAGCCAGACCCAAGAGCGAGCACGTACCGCCAGCATAAAAGCGAAAAGAAGAACGAAAAGGAAAGAAGAAGAAAAACGCCATTGTTCACATTCATATCGTCCGAGCTAAATTCAAACCCCCCCCCCCACACACCCCTTTCCTGACGTGAGCAACCACCCGAGACAAGAAGCTTTCCAGTTTCCGTCAGCTGATGTTCATGCCCATGCCCATGTTCGTTTATACCACGGAGGAAAACTTGCTTGTCGATGGCGCATCGTCTCCATGTTCGTAAAAATGATTCGTGACCTCCTCGAGGCTGTCAGCGTCCAGTCCAGGCGTACGTACTGATCATGTACACTGCGAGTCGCCGCCAGAGTCCGGGGTCATCATCCCAGTTCCTCGGCGACGACAACGTAAATAAATGACGGCATCCGCTCGATGCCGCCCTTTGAAAAATAATAATAATCGTGTGTCCCTGCTGGAACATATCGTAACGTCATTTTTGGAAAAACTTTTGGCATTCCCCCATCAAGTGGGTAGGGGAGGGTATTCCGCTTGTTGCTTCCGTTTGTCGCAAGTTTCCCTTCTTCCTTTTTTTCCTCCCTTTTCTTTCTGTTGTTCCCGGCTCTTCCTGCTTGCCAACTATATGCAGCTCCTTTTTGTTTTTCCATCTCCTCTTCGTTCACGCGTGTTTTCGAAAAAATTGTCATGGCCGAGGGGCGAGTTACAGTCAGGGAGAGGCGATCCCGAGTGACAGATTCCCCAACAACCGCTTCTTTCCTTTGCTGACCGTCCCTTATACCCGTCTGTCATCCCACTTACTCGTGTGCGACCACGGACTTATCGGCTCTGGCGCGCATATGAGTGGCGTGTGTCTCGAGGCATCGGGCCATCAGGTGAGTGACTGGGAGAGGTTAGCGAGGGGGTGCCCTCATTGAGCCTTGCAACGGGACCGAGTACTGACCTGGCCACACCGCGGCTTTGTCGAGCATGTAAGCCGTGATGCGAAGGATCTTGGCCGCATAGCCCGCGTGGTCGTCCATGTGCATTCTCGTGTCGACGCCTGCAACGTTGCCCTGAACAAGCTCAAAGTTCATCTTCAACTCCGCAGAAGCCAACACCTCTTGTACCTTTCCCAGCAGTTTCACGTCTTCCTCTTCCAACATCATGATGGCAGGAACCTGAGAGAGGTCTACGTCGTCTTGGCCCAGGATACCAAGGTACTGACCGACTCGATCCTGCAGCGTCGCAACCCACTCAGCCAGGACCTGGGCACAGTCAAAAGCGCACATTGCTGACTGCAGAGGCAGCTCCCGGCTGGTAAAATCGGCAAAAGTGACGCCCAGCTTGTCCGACATGGCGAGCGAGTCCGCGGCGTAGAAGGCGGCCTTGCGGAGGTGCTTCTCTCTGCGGCGCGTGGATTGGCTCGGCGCAGCCTGCGAGTGAGAGGGAAACTTGCCAGAAGGGAACTCTGGGGAGGAAGACTGCGTCGCCGGAGACTCGGCAAACACCGACGTAGAGACCGAGTTGTCCGAATTCTCGGTACCGGTCGACTCGGCGTTGGAAGCGGGCGAGTGTTCTGCGTGCTGGACCACCTCGGTACCGCGAGAGAGCTCCTCCGCCATGGCGTCCCAGTCCCGTTGCCAAAACTTCTCCTTGGAGCGGGCAAGGTTCACAAAGAGCCGCACGTAGGCCAGGTCGAGCAGCGGGATGGCATCGGCAGACAGCGGTCCGAGGCCAAAGGGGTTCGGGCGCTCCAGGCTGTGGTTCGGGTTGCTTGCCCAGGCGGCCTGCCAGGCCTTCAGAGCAGGTTCGATGTGCCGGTGCATCTTCTCGGTTTCCTCGTTGGTCCAAACCTTGTTGTGGTGGCGCTGGCGCGTCTCCCAAATGTAGTTGTGCAGCGCGTTGATCAGGATCAGACAACCAAACGTCGACGGCTTGAGGTCGTTCTTGTGGAGCTCGTCCAGGCTGCTGCCGCCGCCGCCCTGCGCAGATGCCTGGTGCCCGTTGCCGAAAGCAAGCTGCTGCTGCTGCTGCTGCTTCTGCTGCTTCTCATTCGACCGGAGCAGGTCGCCCAGCGCTTCGTGAAAGGTCATGCGGTTATGGTTCGCGGCGCGAACTCCGCCCTTGGCAGCAAAGGCAGTGCTGCTCTCGGCGGCGAAGAAATCCTCATCGCAAGGCAGGTCGAGCAGGATCTCAGAATTGGTCAGGGCCGGCGTGTGGTTGTACGCCGCGACGAGGAGGCTCGAGAGGACAAAGACGACGTAGAGCGTGCGCTTGCGCTCCTCCATCGTCCTCCACCGGAGCCACTCCACCTGCTCATCGGAATCGGGCTGAAGGCTGCTCCACGTGGCATCGTCGTGCATGTGGGTGTCATGAGGGGCATCGTTGGACTCGACGCGAATGGGGCGGAGGAGGTCGGCAGCTTGCGCAAGGCTGACGAGGGCAGCGCAGTGGGTCGAGGCGATGTCGCTTGCCGTCTTGTCGCCGCAGTTGTGGCCGTAGACGACATTCAGAAGCATGGCCTGCACGAGCCAGACCGGGGTGTGGACAGATGATTCCTGGCTGTGGGCCGACGGCTCGGATGCCGGGGTTCTCCGTAGGTCGGCCTTTCTCACGTCGGCTTTCCGCCGTTCCTCAAGGTACAGTTGAATCATTTTCTTGGCCATCTCAAACAGTTCCCGGGATTGTACGTGGTCCATTTCGTACAAGGCGCCAATGGCAGACATGGAAAGGACGAGACACCCACTCCCACCAACGGTGTTGGGGCGGTTGGCAGCGGAGGGCGGCATCTCAAAAGTCAAAGTGGGAATGTGCAAAAACGGCAGATGAGGGTGGAAGTAACGAAGGTAAGCGCCAACATATCGTTGCAAGTCTTGAGTGCTAGGTAAATTCTTTACATGGTCTGGGACACTGTTGGCCGTGTTCTGAAAGCCCGGCGACAGCGGCGAGCTTGGGGTCGCGAATGAGTACCTCCGTCCTCCAAATGGAGAGCACTGCGAGAGGGCCCCGACTATGGCGCCTCGGGTCGATTCGGTAATGGTCGAGACGGGCGAGACGCCGTGGTTGCCGCCGTTCATGGACGACGGCGTCTCGGGACCTGCGTTGAAGCTGAGGGCGGCGTGGTTGAGGTTTTGCGTGTTGAGTCCGGAAATCATCGACGGACTGAGGGAGCTAAGAGAGGGAGGCGGCGTCGAGAAATAGGCATCGTTCATTTTCTGCGCAGCAGGTTGTGGTGAGACGGGTGCTCCGTTTAAGAGATCTGGGAAGACCGAACCATTTAGATCCATGGCAAACGGGTTTGGGACCTGGGGAGGACCCATCACGGCCGGTTGCCACATTGAACTTGTTCCTGCGGGGACAGGATGATTGGAGCCGTCCACCATGACATCGCTGATGCCGCTCTGGCTGGTGGTGCTAATGGCCGAGGGACTTGAGCCGTCCACGGCGTTGTCGGCGCCCTGGAAGGACATCTGGTGCTCGAAACCTGTCAGCCAGTCGAAGCTATCGTCCAGCTGCGTCGTCGAAAGGTCGCCGGCAAGCCCGTGCTGGAAGGGCGAGGGCTGGTCCATGGCCATTGACTGGGGCGAGTCATTGTAGTGGAGGGCGTTGGGGTTGATGGTGGAGCCGGGGCCGAACAGCAGGCCCTCAAAGTCAAAGTCTGGGTTGAAGACTGCCATGGGGGGAGCGGTCCGCAAGCCGCTAAAGTCCATGTGGTTGATGGTGTGCGTCTCGAGCTTGGGCAGCCCGTGAGACATTCCCCGGTGGCCCATGGCGGCTGACATGCCGCCAAAGTCCAAGTTGTGCACGGGTAGCCCCGCGAGACTGGGGTGACGGCTGTGTGTACCAGGTGGCATGCCCCGAGCCGCCTGGGCGTTGGCGGCGGCAATCATCTGCATCGCGCTCCCGTCGACGTGGCTGATGGTGTTGGCCCTCGGGCGCATCGAGGCAGCGGCGGCATTTGCAGCGGCTGCGGCATTGGGGCCGGCGACGCTATTTTTGCGAGCGCGGGCTCCAGGAGCGGCACTGCTGGCGCTCTCACGGCGGTTGCGGGGGCGGGAGGACGGGGTCGTGGTCTGATGCAGCTTCTGCTGGTGTCTCAGCAGCAGATCGCGACGAGCGAAGCATCTTGTGCACTCGGGGCATTCGAAGGGCTTCTCCTTGGTGTGGGAGCGCTCGTGGCGTTTCAGGTGTTCCAATCGGGCAAAGGAGCGCTGGCAAGTCGCGCACACATGGGGGCGGGGTTTGTCGGTCTTTGGGGGAGGGAAATTGGCAGGCGTCTTGGTATTGACGGTAATCGTGGAAGCAGCTAGATTTGCGTGCAATTCCGTATGTCAGCTCACTTTCCAAGTCAGGTCGGCATGATTGATCTTTTCCTTATTGTGGGAGGAAGAGGAGAGGAAAGAAGAGAGGGCACCCCGCATCCGCCATATAAATCAAGAATCAACGTCGCCATCGTCGGCGGCGGGAAGGAGGACGCGAATTGAGGAGGAGGGGGGGGGGGATGGAAGATGCGCGGGTGGGAACAGGAGGGGCGGTTTTTTTTTTTTGGAGGGGTTGTGGGTGTGGGCAAGCAAGCAAGCAAGCTTTCAGGTGCGACTCATACCACTATCTTCGGTGGCCGGCGCCGTGCTGTTGGCGGCAGAAGCGGCAGCGGGAGCAGCGGGCGTCGAAGAGGAATTGGTCATGCTTGTGTTCTTTTCGGCCTTGACTTCGGTGTCGTTCATAGCCATGGTTGGCTCGTTTTCGTAATCGTCGTTCGTCGTGATCGTGAAAGGAAGGAAGAAGGGGGAGGGAAAGGAAGAGAAGGAGGGTTGGGTGGTTGGCAGAACAAGGCAAGTAAAGTGTGGTTGAGGAAAAAGGGTCTGTCTTGGTTGTCGCTTGGAGGGTTTAGTTTGGTTTAGGTGGGCGCAGCTCGCGACGAGCGGGCGGGCGGGCGGTCGGTCGGGGTCGGGAGAGTGCGCTACGGCGGGAAGCGAGAAAGTGTATGTAAGAAGAGTGTGTGAGGAGGGATGACGGATGGCGGGGTGGGATTGTGGACGGGAGAGAAAGAGAGAGAGAGAGGGAGATAGGATAGGTCAGATCAGATAGGTTAATAGAGATAGAGAGAGAGAGGGTCCCGTCCCGGGTTAGGGAAGCGGCGTTTAGTAGGTGGGAGAAGCGGACGAAGATAGCGGTAGTAGGAGGGAGGCGCTGTGTCCGGGATCCGAGTCTCGCATGCTATTTTCCAAGTGATGGAAACCAAAAAATAATAATAGTATGGTTGAGAAACGAAGTAGTATATCCTCTTTGTCTTTTTTTTTTTCTTCAGTTGGAGAGCTCACAGCGTTTTGTTTTGTTTTCTTTCTTTCTCCGTCAAACAAGACAATCAATTCCCGCCTGTCGAAGCAGCTGCTTTGCTTGGAGAAGAAGAGAAGGAGGGAAGGAGGGGAGCAAGAGTCAGTGGTGGGAAGGGGAAGTTGGGGTACTTGTTAGGTAAAGTGCCATCCAAATCCAACCCAGCCTGGCGCAGGAAAGAGCGAGACGAAGAGGGAGAGAGAGAGATGGTGTGAGTGTGTGTGGTGTGGGTGGGTACCTAGTGCGAGGTACGGATACCTCAGAAAGATTCGGATGGGATGGTGTGGGATGAGAAGGGCAGGTACGTTAGGGAAGGTACCCCCGTCATCTGTGCACGGTGTGTACTGTGCTCCAGACCGGGACATGGAAGGCAATGGCAGGCACAAATGGCAAAGCATCCCACACAGAAAGTGGAAACAGATACAGAAACAGCAAGGCAGGCAGGCAGGCAGGCAGGCAGGCAGGCAGGCAGAAGCCAGGGTCCACGAGGTAGGCACAAAGTACACCACTTAGTCTGTCGATAGTGGGATTGAGATGGCAAGATGGGGAATTAGACATATAGTAGTGTACATGGAAATGGTACAGGAAAGAGCACCCACCAGCACCAGCACCGGCACCGGCACCGGCACCAGCACCAGCAAGAAACAGGCAACAGAACAGAGAACAAGGTGCAAGGTGAGGCAAGTACCGTACAGCGCACCTACCTGTACGTACTATGTATGTGTGTGTATGTACTCCGTATGTGTGAGTGAAATAGTAAAAGTACAGTACAAAACACAGTGTGCATTTCCAGGCCAGCCCTAGGATGTCATAGGTCAGGTGTACATGGCCCAACTGACCAGTGCACAGTGCGGCGGCTTGCCTTGCCAGAAAGGGTCAGGTACCTCCCCTGAGTGCGCGCTTTTCCTTCCTTGTATTCCCTGCTCTACACTATCTCTCTGTGCCTACGGATACCTAGGTACCCCATGGCCTTCCTTGCTCTCTCTTTCACTCTTCCAATCTCCGTGTGCCTTCCTCTCGTTTGGCTGCCCTGACTGGCTAGCCTGCTAATGTCCGTCGTTAACCGGTCCCAGGCTTAGCCGACACCTTACTCCGTACTTTGGGTGCCTGTGTCGGGGCGGGCGTGGAGCTTACCATGGTTTTGTTGAAATGAAAAAAAAAAGCACGACGAAACTTGTCGGAAAGAACTGTACCGACGGATGACTCCTTTACGAGGCTTAGAAGAAAAGAAAAAAAAAAAAAAGGAAAAAAATACCGGTAGAGGGGGGGGGTGGAGTTCTCGGCAACGTGATGCGATGTCAGGCCGCGAGATGCAGACATCAGGCACCGCATACTTAGCACCAACCGTGCTTACACTACCTAGATGCCATGCCAATATCTTTGCTTGCCACCTGCGTCTCATCCATCTCCGAGAGGAAGGGAATTGAAAAGAAACAGGGGTCAGGCTGGTGGCCGGTGGCCGGGAAAGCAGGCTGTGACACGAGAGACCACTAAAACATTTTGCGCGCGCCCGCGCAGTCTGATTGATGCTCACAGGCTCACCGAGTATCAAGTCATTTGACTTTCGCCTGTTCCCATCTCTCTCTCTCTCTCTCTCTCTCTCTCTCTCTTGTCTGGAATAACCGAACATACTTTTCTCCCCATTACCTCCTTCATCCCTGCCGCTAAACCCGGACCTGTTTTATTCGTGGCGTCTTTTCCTCTTTACTCGCCGGATGGCAATTCGCTTGTTTCCGTCTTGGAATATTGAGGCTACGTACGCTACTGCTATTATGAATACCTACTTGGTGTAGTACTCGTGTGCCTGCCTTACCTACCGTATGCGTGCAGTCCCGGCAAAAGCTAGCTCCCATAAAGAGGTTGGTTGGAAGGGGAGGGGAGGTTAATGGTTCCAGAGAACAAGGGGGAGGCTGGCCTGACGTCGAACCGTTGCAGGTTGAAAGCAGCAGCATGCCGCCCTGCACTACCCACACACCACCTGCTGCCGCGGAATCAGGCACAGAAAGCCTGAATCTTCGTAGCCATCTACGCAGTAGTGTGTAGTGTAAATGGGAGCAGAGACAAGGACAGGCACTCGGTCACGCCTGCTTGCTCGCCCGCCCCCTCTGTTTCTTTCCCTCGCTCGCTCTCTCTGGTGCTCTGTACTCTGTCAGTCTGCGTAATCGGGTTTGCAGATCGTGTCTTGTGCGCGCAACGGTCTGTTCTCCCTCGGCCCGTCTTGGCCATGCTTCTTCATACTGGCCTTGACAGACGGGTTCCAACACGCGATACCAATCCATCAATGGGACACGCCTACCCGGGCGGGGCCTCGAGCCCGTCTCATTCGTCCCCAGAGAGACAAGCCTCCTTGGTCTGTGCCGCCCATTACCATGTAGTTTATCGCACGGGGCACAGGCCGATTAAGAGATAGACGTGCGGCAGCTGTATCGAAGGGTGGTCGGACAGCTCGACACCAAGGCGGACTTGGATCAGATGCGTGAGCCATTCTAGAGCTTAACCTACCGATGCCAATGAGACAACGTGAGGTCGGGGCTGGGCAGACCAACATAGCTGTACTTATGCAGGTGTTGGGGGGAAACGGAAATCAGATGGACAGACTGACTTTTGCCCTCTGTAATCGGGTCGAAGCTGTGTTCCTATTAAAAGATGGCCAGCCCACCCTAGGCTTCTTCTCACAACCGAGCTGCGCGCAGGCCTAGGTTATATACACACACAGCATGTGTGCAAGCATCGCATGGCCATAGATTTTCACCGCGATACCTGGAACCCTCGCTCGTCGGTTCTGCTGTCGTCCATGTGCTTGAACCTACTTTGGCCTGGCCTGTCCTGGCGACCGTCCGTCGCTCCAAGAGCGGCAGGACTTGGTGGCCGTGGCCGCATCCGCCGCCGCCGCCGCCGCCGCCGACGCCGCTGTCGCTGTCGCTGTCGCCCGGTCGTTTTCATAGGTTGCCCGTCCAAGCCCAAGTCGCCGCATAGACTTCTACTGCTGCCGCTGCCATCGCGGCCGTGGAGTGACTCTCATAAATCACCTACGTGCCGATAGGACGGCATCGATTCGCATACATGTCGTACCATGGTGATTCGTGTCTGTACCTCCAAGTCTGGGGCTTCATATCCGGTATTCGCACGGCGCGCAGAGTACACGGTACAAGGCAGTGGAGAGAAGTAAAGTCGCCGGCGTCCAGTCGCATCACTGGACAGGCATGCCAGGCCTACCTGTCGTTGGCTCTTGCTCAGCGGGAGGGTGGATTGGATGGAGAGCATCCCGTGCCGGGTATTTCATGCCCCGGGGTTCTTCCAAAGGCAGGCTAAGCCTGGCTCGGGTGAGAGTCCCGCCGTGAAATTGAGTTTCCTACTGTTGCCCAGCTGGGGCATGATCCGAAGCAAAGACGGTGTACAGTACATAACATGTGGTGAACGCAAAACCCTGTTAGGTAAGAGGTATATGCGATTGCAAAGGCAGACAAGCTAAACCCAAGCGTAAGTTAAGTGTCGCACCCTTATTTCGCTTGGCCTGGCGTGGCATGGCCAACACTCCTCCGTGGCATATGCGAGCACGCGCGCGCGTGTGTGTGTGTGTGCGTGTTTTGATTTTATTTACTCTTCGTCATCTTTGCATGCTTGGTTCGGTCTGCTCGGCATTGACAAATAGGATCGAGGCCGGGTGCGACAAAACCAAGCCGCAGAGAGAGAGAGAGAACGGGAAAAAAAAAAAAGGAAGGAAAAAAAAAAAGGAATGAGAGGAGGAAGAAGAAGAAGAAGAAAAGCAAGAAACAAGTTGCTGTAGCCGACCAGCAATCATTTCCAAGTACTGCGTAGAGCTCTCTCCCGTGGAATTGCGAAACACAAAAGCGACCAGCTCCGTCCGTAGTCGCTCAGTGGATTTGGAAACCTGGATGCTGATGATAGTTGTGACCATTAGCTTCGACCAATGGAAATCATCTCCGAGGCATATAGAGACCGATAGCCGGAGGGACCCCTCCAATACCCTGTCTTCCTGGTGGTTGGAGGGGTACGAGTGGCAGGTAGGTAGGTCCTGGGGAAACCAAGGACCAGCAGCAGCAGTTCTGGCTGGGTGGCAGGGACAAAAAGAAACGGTCGTAAGGCGAGTGGCTGCGGCGGGCATTGCGTCTTCAAGGCAGCGAGTGGTGAGGTCCTCGGGTACGTCGGTACCGACTGACGCCGATCAGGGTTGTCCGTATCAATGTCCTGTACCCGCACACAAAGCTAGCACTGAGCCCCCTTTGTGATTGGCCAGTATGCCTCGGGCCATGCGAAGGGTATGCATGCTAGGTATGTAGTGTCAGTAATAGGTACTCTGTAAGGTCGGGTAGAACAGGTACCTCTGTCTCTTGTCGTGGTGGATGCAGGTGAGTCGTGTTCCATTGAATCTGTAGGCCGGGAGAGGTAACGTGTGTATGTCAGGTAAGGGTTTGTTTGTCGCCGACCAATCCGACTGCAGGCTGGGCTTGGTAATTGGTGAGGTGAGTACTCCGTAGTGTACCATGGAAGCGGCGAGGTGAGGTCAGGCCAGCTGCAGTTCGTCACTCGTGCGTCTCCGTACTGATGGCTAATGGCGAATATTAGCAAGCTGCGAGTGACAGACGACGTTGTAGGCTCGTTCGTGCATGATGGTTGCTGCGAACACTCTGGCTGTTGACCGAAGCCAAGACCAGGCTGGATATTGGCCGGCATCTGGACCCAGGCGATAGAAGCTGTCGTAAGGCAGAGTAGGTAGGTAGGTGTTGGTAGACCACACAGTAGGTAGTGTACAGGCATGCTGAGAGGCTGAAGCAGTAGCCGTTTCTCTTCCCTCGACGGTCGATGGGGCCACGGCCGGATTGCATGCGTCTGCTCGTTCATGTTTGCTGCACCAAGCCTGTTTCTGTTCGCATACATGATACAGGACGCATATCGCAAGGGCATGCAAAGTGTGCAGGAGGGAGAAGTGCATCAGCGCGTTGTCGGACATGTGCGAGGTACGTACTGCGTAGAAGGTGCCTACCTACCTAGGTGCTAGGTAGTGACTGAAGGTATCTGAAAGGTACGTACTCCGTATCTGATGGTCTAGCGGGACGTCGAACGAGTCCACCTTTTTGTGCCGGTGCGTGGCTCTGATTCGACAGAGTCGGCGACTTCCAGCTTGATAATCACGCACAGCAGGAGAAGATGCAGGCGCTTGAGCGCTCTCTCCCTCTCTTTCTTAACCTCGCTCTCAACCTCGCTCTACCATCCCATCCGCGGTACGAGGCACACAGGGAAGAAGAAAGAAAAAAGGGTACACTACACGGTACCACTGGGAAGACATGACCTTACCTTGGCTTGGACAATTACAGTAGCGGCAGCTGGACCAGGGCGAAAGTCGAGCAGACTACGCAGTAGACGGCAGACATGGGTGGGTAGGTAGGTAGGTAGTTTAGCAAATGTAGCAAAAGTACCTACCTAATCCAGGATGAGCTGATGGAATTGAAAAAAACACCACTTCTGGGAGCAAGGGCGTTGTCGAAAGCTCCTTCCTGAGTGGACCACGGAAAGTGCTGCGAAGGCAGCGCCCTGCCTCATGCACCTTAGCGCGGCTGCATGAGTTAGCGTAGCGCACCTGGAAGCCTTAGCACTGTCATCTACCTAGGCACCTTAGCTAGGTAAGGTGGTACCTCAACATACTACATCGTATGTCGTCGTGGCTTTGGTAGTGTTCGAGATGAAGGATGAAGACAAATGCAGCACATCGCAAGCAAAGGCAAGGTGGATATCGTAGACGGGACAGATGAGGTACGTACCGTGGCAACGAACACCAGCCCACCCCCAGGGCAGAGCACAGTGCGGACGATCCACAGCGTCCCTTTCCTTCCCCTTCGCGCGCGCCCCACAACCTCGAGGAGGATGAATGAACAGGCAGGAAGGACCCCTGTTGCCTTGATTTTCGGGCCCTCTTTCCTTGCCCATATCTGAGTCTGAGGTACGTATCCAAGGCGCTCTTTCTCTCTTTCTCTACTCCGTACTCCGTATCCGTATGTGATATTTCAATCCAAGAAGGTACGGTACGGGGACTCTATCTATCTGCATCTGCACGTGTCTCCACACATACACACGGTACACAGTCCTCAATCCTTTTCCCCCCTCGTTGTACGGATATCCATTTTCACAATTCATCATCATTAATTCCTCACTCTCTACGGAGTATGGGTAGCATACCCACCCCGTCCTTCTCACACGGCCCATTTCCTCGATCCACATCTCTTGCCTCGGCCCCCTGTCGCTTCTCCATCATTCATCGACAATCGTCGCCACTAATACCACCAGCGCCACCAGTTCTTCAACGCCGGGGCCAATCCCCAACCCGATGTGGCCCAGCCAGCGGCTCTTGGTCCACCAAAGGGCCATAGCTCGACCTGGTCATGAATAACATCTGACAGCAGCATGAGCATCATGATGAGCCTCTCTGCTCGGCGAGAGATGGATATCGGTCCTCTACGGGAAGCAAGCCCGGCCACGGATTTGGACCGGTTTATCCTTCCCGTGGCGGTGGGCTCACTGCAGTGCAGTCGATACACTACACCACACTACCTACAAATATATACACCAACATCTCCATGTCCTGTTGATCCAGCTTTGCATCTCACGGCCTTCCTGCCAACGAATGGATGGTCTGTATGCATGTGTGCTGCAACAATGGACAGCCTGGCTCCGGAACGCACAAGATCGCTGTCAAAGTTGTCTCCTTGTCTGATGGTGAAGACTGACCATCATCTTGAGACCTGCAAGCTCACGTCACCATGCCCAGACCGAGCCTGGCACGCACCATCAACAAGGGCGATGGCATTTCGTCACAATCGTATTATTCGAGCCCCTACTACGCACAAGGTGACGGCTTTGTCTCGCTATCAATGGGCACACTAGGGACGCGAGACATTAATGCCACTTACTGTATCTCCGCTTGCCTGCAGATGTCCGCCCGTATCCGCCCGCCCGTCGCTGTGCGCCAATAGCACAGACGAGGAGACAGACAGATTAGACGCCTGTCTGGGGCTCAGGAGGGTCCTGACGGAACACAACCGGGCCCTTCATCGCGAGAATAAGAGTCACACGGGCTCTGCCAGTGACAGGGCTCTTCCTGGTCGTACTCACGATCCAGATCCATTCTCTCCGTCAGCAGCTGGCTGCGTCACAGCTTCGAATCTCTTCGCCCTAGTGTTTGCTTACACGCTTACACTACCCAAGCCCTTTGCCGGCCGCCGCTGCTGGGCTGGCGGGCTTTTGAGGGGGGTCATGCCTGTAGCTCTCCTTGCCTTGCTTGGCGTTTACCAGTCTTCGAAAATGTTCGGACTGCACCGTCAGTAAACATGGCTGCTCGGAAACACTACAAATTACTGCACTCGTGACAGCGACGGACATTGGCCGCTCAATGCCCATCATCGCGTGTCGCGCTCCTCGGTCAAGCACAAAACCTCCGATCAGTGCTCTATTAATAACGATGCCAATATCAGAGCCACAGACAAGACCCATACAGGCCCGGCGATCATGTCCAGTTGCCCTGGCCCCGGAGACGCATTGGATGATGTACCTGTGTACGGATACCTCAGCGAGAGAGGCGATCCAAATCAGATGCTACTATCGTCCCGCCTGCGATGTACAGTACATCTGACAGTGTTGGCCTCGTCGGATACTCACTGTGTCTCGTCGACAGGGGCTCGCGTGTTCCGACTGCACACCTTCACACGCTACTGTTACGTCGGCGGAGCTCTGAGGTTGCAGGCCAGAACTGGCCGACGGGAAAGCCCAACGATCCCTACCTGCGAGTCACTGGGTAGCGAGGCTTGGCCACTGGCCTTCGTTGTTCGACAGCGAATCACTAATGTGGGCTGCTGTGGTACCCCAGAAACCCTCTCCTGTTAACGACAGGTCATGCCGGGAGGAAGCCCGTCCAGCACAGATACACTTCGGCCTTATCCACGCGCGCTATCCGATGGGGACTCGGCGTTGACGATGCCCTTCAACATCCATACCCGTCGAGACCCTCAGTCTATCGCCCTCTCTCGCTCTCTCTTTCTTCAGGCTCGCTTGCCACGAATGCATTGCCTGGACCAAAGGGCCCCGTTTCTCTGCGTTATCCAGCCCACAATCTTGAAACGACTCTTGCCGCCCACTCACGAATAGGATGCGGCTGGGTCAGCACACGCCGGCGATGCCGCCCACAGGTTGACAGCACCCAACGCTACCGATACGCTACCTCGACGACGGCGACGCCCGGACCGGGTCAAGGCACCTCACCGAGCCTAACCATATGGGGTATCAGCGGCTTAACATGCCACCCCCGTTGTACACCCTCGTCTGTTGTCCTTGTGACCTCTTGTAACCCTAGGTATGTCATGTCAGGGATACGAACATCGGCTTACCTAAGGACACATACGCGGAACATTTCATCCATCCACGAGCCAACATTGTTGCAAGCCTGCACGCGAACCGTTTGAGCTGGCCTAGCAGTATACCCATCTTTTTGCTTATTTCAAAACGTTTTCGTGGCTAAGATCACGGCAGGCCTGCCCATGCTCTTTCCCAGACACCGGCACCAATTGAATACCGGGTTCAGGTCGCTTCACGAGAAGACGGTGAGCAATGTCTTATTGTTCTCTCGGTGGCGGCATAGATTGCCTTGGCTGGTCTGGCTCCACATCCCACACGCACAGCGGTGACACCCTCATCCAGGCATCCTACACGACACCAGGAACAGGTACGGATGGGATACCCTTACACAGTATTAGCCCGTTGGGTTCAGATGCCACACCTCAGGGAAAGGATGCACCCATCACAGTACGAATAAATTTCCCGGCTGCATACTGGGTGGTCAATCAGCCGCTCTAGCTCCCCTGCTAAGCTGTGCGGGTACAGTAGGCGGTTGAAGTAGAGGGTTTCTCGCTATTGATATCGATGCGCTGCCCTCTTACTTCGCATCAGCAGAAGCTTTTCCATATTTCCGCTTCCAGACTAACCTTGGGGGATTGCACTGCCTAGCTGGCCAAGGGGCGGTGGAACGACGACAACAAGGATGCAGTGGTGTGCGCTCGTTCACCTCGGCACAATGTCTCGACGATATCTCGCGAGGCAGCTTGCGGAGGCTCCGCCCGCAAAACGCCGTAAGCTTGCCTGATAGTGGACGTTTTCCTGATTATTTTCAAACCTTGGGAGAGGCTTGTAAGCCATGTTCCACTTCCTTGAATGCCAAAAGACGACATGATTTTTTTTTGTCTTCTCGGCAGCCAGATGCATTCGGCTCAAATCCTCGCGGTCCCTCCATCCCAGTCCTAGACCGACCTACCGTGGGAGCTGTCGATTGCTCGATTGGAGCTTATTTGACACACGGATTGATGGATGACGGGGCTCCGGCAGAAGTAGCTTCGTCGATTTACCTCTCTCGATGGCATGTACGACATCTTCGCTGCTCGGCACTGTCATCTTACTACGTGTTTCCCTACTGGGAGTGCTTCTCCAACTTTCCCCAAATTTTGTCTCGTCGACGTTGGACGCTGCACCTCATCCTGGGCGCAAGCCGGAGACGCAACAGCTTGCTGCAACCTTACCCCGGAGGCGATGAAAGACAGCTCCCCTCCGCATCTGGACTAAGGCCAACGCAGCAGCACACCTCCACAACACACCGGGGTAGGATCCTTTATACGCCGAGATCCCGGGCCCACACACCAAGCGCGACGGATCAAGGCCACTTCACGATGAGCCGCCATTCCATTATTCTTGGCCGGGTTTGTGTCGGTCCACACCGGTGTTGGAACTCGAGTGAGGCCTGTCACCAAGAATCAGGGTCGCCTTTGGGGCTGTGTAGATGGACATCTATCCGTCCGTCCATCCATCCACCCACCATATGTGGAGGGAAACTGGCTTTCTGCAGCTTTGCCTGCCCAGGCGTTTTGCGTTCGTTTGTCATCATTTTGTGCCGAACCTACCATGTATTGCGGCATTGCAAGCTGCGGTCATGGATATGAACTCTCGTCGAATGCCAGTGACAATCTGCGTCAAGAAACAGCGTTCCTGGGCCACAATGCCTAAGTTCCCACCCCCCCCCCCCCCTCCACGCCTCTCGAACCCTGCATGGCAGCTATGACCAGGCACGTCGTCCCCAAGTCCGCTCACAAACTCACAAACTGAGGGATGGATGGGTGGGTGGGTTGGTGGGTGGGAAGACCAGCGTATGAAAATGCCTCGGCCTTCCAGACTGGCCTTTGGACCAATCCCAACGACAAGTTCTCTCACACAGTACAGCATGTACCAAGCATACCATGCTAGGCGGGAGGCTTTCCCCAACAAAGCCAGCCAGACAGCCGGCTAGCTAGTTTAGCTAGCCAGCATCCATCCAGCATCCAGCAATCCAGCCACCATGGCGACGACGGATGGAAGTCTGTCTCCAACTCGTTCCCCAAATCAGAACCTCGGCATAGCAAACCACCATGGATGCCACCAGAGCTCCCTCATGCCTGCGGGAAGTTGTTAGCCATGATCCCCAGTGGAAAGAAGAAGAAAAAAAAAGTGTGTGCACACCTGACCACCCCTTGCCAATGTTGATGACCCCCGGGCGACAGGGTATTACCCCTGTCTACCCCAGACTTTACTCTGCGAATTGTATCTGTTCTCGGCCCATCCACGCCTCGCAAGCATGCTCGGGAATTGGAGACAATCTGGCTGGATCAATCTTAGTGTAGTCTCGCCGTTCACCGTCTGCCGGTCCATCTCTGCTGTTCACTCGGTTGTGTCGAATACGCCGACAGGTCCATGTTCTATCCTTGAACCATGGAGCATACACCACGGAATGACTCTGGAAATTCGCTTCCCGGTGTCACCGGGGTTCGGTGGTCTCTGGCCGCCATGGGCATGTCATTTCAACTGCGCAGTTGAATACCTAGAATGGCAGGGCACACTGATGGCTGGCAGACACACGGTTCCGTCGACGCCGCGTGCATGCAAGCTTTTATGCTGCCTATCCCGAATGCATTCTGCATGTAACCTGAGCTGACTTTTGTGCCGGTGACGTAGGGCGCTCCAGGTTCGCCCTGGAGCTATCGACTCAGCCATGGCCGTCGGAGTCGCACTTTTGTTTCGCCCTCTGGTTTATCAGGGCCTATCCATAACCGCGAACCATGAAGAAATTGAGGGCGGCAAGAGAAAACGAAATGGGTGTTTCGTCACAGCGCACAGCCGCCTCCTGGTTCTGCGCCGGCGCGCCGAGACGAGTAAAAAGACAGAAAGAAAAAAGAGCACATGAAGCACCCATTCAGATCAAGAGCTACACGGCAGCTCTGCCGACGCGCAAGAAACAAAACTGTCATCCCAACGCCAAGGGATAGCTTCTGACGACCACCACGGAAGAACTGCTCGTTAACTTTGCCGTCTCTTCCGATAACCTTCAGCCAGGACCCAGTCGCCGAGCCAGGTTGGTGCCGCAGCCGTCGGTCGCAGCGGGGCTCCGCCGAACGTCAACTTTGAAGTGACGGGTGAAGCAGGACGACTGATCAACGCCTCAAGATGAGGTGAGAAATCTTTCAACCGCTGTTGTCCGAGACAGACGTCGGGAGGCGGAGCAGAAGCAGGCGAGCCGACTTGGTCGATGCGATGTGCTTGTCGCTCGGGAACATGGCTGGCGTCCGATGACCGGTGCTTATCTGAATCAAATCTAACCCATCATCACAACGTTATGGACATCTCTTATCCCCCCATCACACCACCATTTTGCTGCGTCACCGTATTACAACAAGGCTGCAACGTTGGCTGGCAACCGGGTTGAATATCGCAACTTGATGCTACCCTTGGCGACAAACCCGATGAGAGATCCGTCAACCTGCGCATCTCTCGTTGAGATGTATTTGCCACACCAGCTACGTCGCTTAAAGCAACGCAGTAACTCGATAATCCTCACTTCGCCACAGGTCGCATCATTGGTCACTTTTCCCATGGCGCTTTGCTCGAACGAAACACCCGGCGGCTT